TGAAAAATAACAACATCATGATTTAATTTGTTTTTTTACCTCTTTTAGTTCCCCGCGAATTGTCCCGTGTTCACGGGTTTCAAATTTTCCATCCTTTTCGTATTCGATCTTGATATAAGATACACACTCAAGGTCTTTTCCGACTGTTATTTTCTTCACACCGTCGAAAGCATCATCAGTGAATGCATCTCCCATGTTACCACCAACCGGTCCCATCTTCTCAGACGACATTGCTTCGATCTCTTAACTTTAACTTTAGTGATAGAAACCTGAAAGATTCAAATACATTAAGAAAGAAGAAACAACAAACAGAATGGTACGTTACTTGGTAAAGAAATGGAAGAAGAAGTAACACAAACTGTTTTTTACTTATCCCTAATGATAGAATAAGTTAATATATCTTTTATATTCAATTCCACTTTTTCTATGAGATCATTTTAATTGTATTCTATATCTTCCAAGGACGCCACTGAGAATTCATTTTTAACGTACTTCTCCTTATCTCTCTATAATTGAAAATTACATTAAAAACCCATTAATATATTTGTATATATTGGTGATACCGTATAACTTCAATAAGTTCAAACAACAACAATGGATGCATGACAAAACTATGCACAATACATTAGCAAGCTAAGGATGAAATCATGTAAATTAGATTATAATAATGTGAATAGAAAATGTCGACTAAAGATGTGAATAGAGAGAATCGAGAAAAATGAAAGCAAATTAAGAGTGAGAGAGGGAGAGAGTCCTCACGTGTGTGTTACTCTTTGATTGGAGAAGAGCTATGGGATTTGGAGTAATGCTACTCCCTATTTATTGACATTCTTTTTTACCTTTTACATTTTACTAATTTACTCTTTACACTCATCAAAATTTTAATTATCATGATACCTGAGATACGCTAGTCACCAACGTCCAATCGACTAGACCAAGACATTTCAAAACGATATTATCATTTTTATAGAAATATTTTATTTTAAAATATAGTAATTGGATTATAAAATAAGATAATGGTTATTACACTACAATTATTGAATATTGTGTTCAATTGTTCTCATATATTAACTAAAACATAGTTTTATTATTTTCAATTTGTGGTTAAGGTTTATATCTAGCTAAAAGAATTGTGAAACCAATTCCGTTAGATTGATAACCATTTTAGCAAAATCGTAACTAAAGTTTCTGATTATCAAACTTAATTTAGACACTTGATTAACTGAGCTGATGAGGTAGGAAGCTCGCCATGTCGACGTTTGTTCCTCTCTCGCCAAAGTGAATGTACTGTGGCTTGGAAAGTGAGTTTCATGATGATAAAGCAAATTAATCCATTGAACGTGGAGTCTGAGAGGAGTTATATGATCTCCGAGAATCTGTTGGTGTAATGACGATGAAAGAACTTGCGGGTAAACAAATATTATGATTTTTTAACGTGTTCAACAAATATTATGTATCACACGGGTCATAATCGAGATGTAAATATAAACATTGCCTTTGTTATAAAGTGCTCAACAAATATTATGATTTTTATTATCTTTTTATTTGTTAGTTATATTGTTGCTTCTAGTCGAATTCTCAGGAAATACGATTCATACGTTTTCTCCCGGAAAGTTTGACCTTTTCGTTTTATGTTAATATTCATGGGGTTTCAACTCAAAATCAATTGGCAATGAGTGGAGAGGCCTATGTCCCTTATATACTACTCAAATCCCTTCCATCTTGCCACTGTTCCCTGCGTTTTCTGTGCTGCAGCCATAGAAACTCGAAATCATCTTTTCTTCTCTTGTCCATATAGCTATGATATATGGAAGAATCTTGCTCAAAACATTCTCAATAATCAGTTCACGGAGGATTGGCAACAGATTGTGGCTTATATCTCAGCTACTAATCACGATCGGGTTCACAGTTTTTTGGTGAGGAACACATTTCAAATCACGGTTCACACGATTTGGAGAGAGAGGAACGCCCGACGACATGGAGAAGTACCACGCCCGGCAACCACTCTCATAAGTTGGATCGATAAGCATGTTCGCAATCAACTCTCGGTTATACGCTCAAAAAGTGACAGGGGCTATGACCTAGCTCTTCAAGCCTGGTTTGCCTCTCAAACCTAAAAAACCCACAGAAATCTATCATCCACTTTCAAATGCTCTGTTTTAAATCAAAGCTCTGTTCTCTGTTTCTTTTTAAAATATGGTCTTCAGAATGTCAAATGAAAGCTGATGTAAACCGTATATTTTTTTTCTTGAATATAATTTAACATTTTATTCAAAAAAAAAAAATGTGGGATCTCTCTCCATACGCCCTTCCAGATAAAGGCTCTTATAGCCATTAATCTCGACATAATCCATCACTTTTCCTCGAGATAATGCTTTTCTAGCTATCTTGATAGAATTGAGTCTTCCTTTGAGCCTTCAATTAGTAGGGGTGATCGAACCACTCTCTGAGCCGAATTAACGGGTCAACGTATGTTCGGGCTCTGATACCATGTTAAAATTTGGGTTTAACATGAGTTTTCAACTCAAAACCAATTGGCCATAAATAGATTGTCCATAACCCTTTATATGTATATTACTTGATAATTTCTCCAACTTCTAATGTGGGATTTTACTTCACTAATATTTTACAACCTAGAATGTTGCAGTTCTTCATTAAACATCACAAACAATCACTGACTATACACTTCGACATATCTAATTGAAATGTTGGTTTTTGTTTAGTAAACTAGTAATCGTATTTTACTGTACCGTGATTGCCGATTTTGACCTAACTAAACCCTAAATTCGACCTAATGATCAAACATTAATAAAACCAACAAGAATAATAAAATAATTTGTATCTCTCTTATGATCTCTCTCATCTCTTATCTCTCGTTGATCTGAAGTAACTGGTGATGGAAATTTGAATTACAAAAAGGAAGAAGACGATGGATTGTGCTCAATCGAAGATTGGAACGAAGAAGTGCTTACGAGTTGCAATTTTAAAGAACGTAAACAATTAGTGAAAGATGCTCATAACACTTTTTTCGTTACTCACTCTGTTGATGCCAAGGCTCTTAAAATCATCTTCACATATAATACTTTAACCGGATAGCTACTTTAAATATCCGGAATATTTTCTATATTATATAAAATTTAAAGATTTTTAATCATCTTGACAAGTTACACACCATCAATCATACATCCCAGAGTTTTTCGTTTTTATCGTGATATTATTGATTTTTTTTTCTTCATTTTATTATAGTGTATAAATTAAGTGTAAAAAAAACGAGTAAAGATCAAAGTGATATGGCTATTTGAAGACGTGCTGAAGAATGCTAAGATGCAATGGACCGACAACTTCTATCTATGTATCATATAACTCTACACCGGATTGTTTGAATTCAATTAAGTTGGAGAATGCTAATGGATCTGCGCGCCCACAACCTGTTCGAATATAGTATTTTATTTTTTCTTGAATAAATATTGGGAGACCGTTGTCTCCCATCCGCGACAAAAAAAAAAAAAAAAGATATTTTTTCTATCAAACCGATTGGATGAATTTAATAACCCATTTGTGGTGCTCTAGATACTCTAAAACGCCATATATTATAGAGATATTCTTCAAACGTCGAGATCGGTAGGTTTAGCTGCCATAACAATAGAATCTGAAATTTCTATAGGTAAAACTAAGTTTAAAATTGATTCCATTCTTACCAGTTTTTATAAAAAAAAAACAAGTAAATTATACTGGATTTATGTGTTATAAAGATGTTTAATTAAGGAGGGTTAGGTGGTACGTCTGGTGAAGTAAAGTTGTTACAATGAATTTCACGTGTGGAAAGTTTTAGTCAAGTTAAGACAGCTAACTAGTAGAAAACCTATACTAAATCCAAATTTTGATTTAATGGTAGGACTTCAAATCTTCTACAGTTTAATTTGTCTTTACTTGATTCATTCCACACGTGAAACTCCTTGTAATGAATGTTGGATTATTAATGGTTAGTAGCAATATGGAGTACACAGACTTAATCAGGTGATATGTGTACATTCTTATATCTTTTACTCGAAACATTTTGCATAGTGAAAATCAAAGCATGTAGTTCACTCTCAAGAGCATTGCTAGTACAATCACCTCCTGCTTAGTCCGATCCAATGTAAATACCACCACTATCTCTAGTAACCGACACGCCTTCCCTTTCCTTGGTAGTTTGATTCACAAATGTTCTTTCAAATTGCATTTTATCAAACCCTGAGTTGGTGTTGTCCAGTGAGGTACCGATGCATCTCAAACAGAGGCACTAGGATTCGGATGACTGTTTAAGTCTGTGTACTCCATATTGCTACTAGCCACTAATAATCCAAAACAAGACAAATGTTGCAGTTCTTCACTGATTCAGCGTTCTGTCACCGCCCACTTAGCGTCTAGCGCTTTTTTGAACATTGCCTGAATCTAATAAATAACTGTTTGCCCAAATCACCTACTTTTTGGAAGCAATGATAAAGAAGAAAGAGTAATATAAATAGATGTGTTGGTAAAATAAACTAAAAATATCTCACAGTTTAGCTGGTGTAAACGCTTTCATAAGGCTCTTCATTGCCTTAGTTTCAAACCCTCATGAATGAGAAATTTTTTGTGATCATTCATTCAACAAATCAAAACGACGTTGTTTTAAAGTCAAAGTTAGTAAATGCAGATTTTGGCACTTTTAATAAGAGTTTATGTAGTTAATTTGAATTTTATTAAGGACTAAGGTTGAAATAAGCACTGTGTCGTTGTGTGGGTAAGAAAAAAGCATCATCAATAGTAGTGGTTGAAATACGCCCCTTTCCCGTTGAAAAGATCCACCCGAACTAAAACTGAGGACTTAAACCCTGACCGTAAATTTGCATTTGACAAATACTGAGTAGACCGAGAAAACAATTGTTTTGTTTTCTTCCATTGAATCTGTAATATTTCAAAAACCTGTATTTATTATATGTCAATCTGGCCTTCTGCGAAATATGATCGATTGATCGTTGTTTGAACCCAACTTTTATATATATATATATATATCATTATCGTTCAAACATATCAGACCACAGCATATATTAAAACTAGTTTCACAAAACCCCTCATTAGTACACTGCCTAACAAAAGTAAAGAATTTTGAATCCTGTATTCTATACACATAACTATCTGGGTTCAACTAATGTTACTTCGACTTAAAACAAATCGACTGTGCCAGCTCCGGCTTTTCCCAGTTTCAATAGTCGATAGCAACACACTCAACAAGTCCTCTGCTTCTTCCTCTGATGGAAGCTCTAAGTTTGTCTGAAGCAGCGGTTGAGCTGAAGAATTGTTCCATCGTTTTTTGGTTGGGCTGCTCTTCTTTTGCTGGTCCTGTCTCCAGTTCCATACACCATCTGAATTGCTTCCTATGATGCGGACAACTCCGCCACTGCAATCTGTATGTATTACACTCTCCAAACCGATTTCTCTTTCGATATTCCATACCAAATCTATTGGAACTCCGAGAAATCCCTGTTTTCTGAAATCTACCAAGCTGGGGCTGCTTAAAACCAATACCAGTCTCCCTGTGATTACAACAAAAGCTCCTTCTTGCTTCAGGGCTTTGCACTTCACCAGCTTCTCGCCCTTGAACTTCAGGGAATCTCCAACCTCCATAAGTACTGCTGTCCCGACCGCTTCTTCCCATGAGTAAGGCCTGAGAGGTTGTTCTCTACTCAGAGGCCTGGGAAGACGAAGCCTATGCCTTTGGGATCTTATGTTATGAATCCGGCTTCGGTTTCTGATACTCTGTGCAGTTTTTCCAGTTACCTCAAGGATACTAGCCGTTGGTCTGGCTACAAGTCCAGTAATCCCCATGGCCACTCCTGAACCATATAGAGGCACCCAGTTAACATACATAAAATTAGAAAAAGCCAGAAACAAAAGGACAGCATGTACACAAACATGAAATGTCTTGAATATTTATAAATGACTTAAGTTGGTTCTCGGTTAAATACCTGAGATGACGCCTGGAAGACCATGTTTCTCAGCTCCTCTTATTGGTGATTGAAGGAGACCAGTGAGTCCCTGTGATGAACATTGTGATGGACTATTTTTAAGTAAAGTATAAACCAAGCAGATATTTTCATCTCATGTATAACCAATCAAATTATATTTGCAAGAAACAGTGCAATGTTCACGTTTCAGCTGTTGTAATCTCAGGCCATCACAAGCATACTTAATTCTTTATGCAAGTTCAAAGGGCAATGGAATTGATGACTAATATGGCAAAATATCTGACAGAAGTCAGTGAATTCAAGACTAAGTGAACATCAAATCAGTATAAACGACATAATTCCAAAGAAAGTGCAAATAATATACCTCAAACACTTCACCTATAACTCCTTTGCTACGCGATCCTTCGCCCAATTGCTGCTTCTCCATCCTTGCAACATCATGGTCATTGAATGTAAATGCAACAATACCCTGCAACGATTTGGAAGTTCTGTGAATATTTCTTGAAGGTGGCGTCTGCACCACAGATTTTTAAGCAAACAGATGCATCGTACCTTGTGTGCAGCTTTACTAAATTGAGTGGCAGCATCACTTAAAGCATAAACAGTGCTACTAAAGAGGCTTGTGGTTCCGTGAGCCATTCCTTGAATAATTCCTGCTGGGCTCTGTTCAAGTAATCTAGTTTAGCATATAAGTAAAAAGTAACTAAACCCGAAATTACAGGAAAACGTAAGTCAACAAAAAAAAAATTAATCAAAACCTTTGAGATACTCCTGCTGGGAGCTGACAGGAAATCTTTAATTCCAAATGCAACATTCCTCGCAAATCCCATGGGATTTCCAATAACACCAGCAGAGCCGAAGACCTGTGTTTAAACAAGGGAAAACAGGTAATATTAGATTGCAGAAATGCGTCCAGCAGGTATATAGTGAATAGTATGACTGCTATAGGAAATCAAAACAGTTAGTGAAAAAATGACATTTTACCAGTTCTTACCTTGTAAATCTCATGAAGAATTTGGCGGGTATAGTGCCCAACGAGGATCTCCTGAAATGATTCCCAACTAGTGATTTGATGAGCAATTGTCAATTGCTTGAGATGTATTCGAGCACCCTCGACATCGGCAAGAGCCATTAGACCTCTCTGAAATCGAATAATAACGATTCAGTTAACCATATTAAATACAAGATCCTTCAATTTAGAATTAACACGGGGCTCTAAGGAGAGATGAATCAATATTATGTTATAATCCTTACAACCGGGTCCAAGGAGAGATGAAATTACAAAGTAATGATGAGATTCAAGATCGAAACTCTCTTTGTTTCTCAAGAAACGAAGAACACGGAAAATAGTACTTGAGTATCAATAGCCAAAGCAAAACCAGAAAACGGTTTGCTTTGGAGTCCCTAATTACTGCCAAAGTCATAAGAGCTCCTAACTAAACCAGTGGTCAAAGAACACTAATCTGTTCTCCTGCCTTCTATGAATAGTCTATCAGGTAATCCCAGAGTTGAAACAAAGAGAATATGGTAAAAAATGTCAAAATGGGTATTTGGCCAAGAAAAAGAAGGAAGAAGACTATTCAAAATTTAACGTCATAAATCATTTATGCATTGAATTTCAACAAAAATAAAACTATGCAATATATCTAAGGAATGTTGCAAGAAAAGTGAAGGTACATTACATGGATAAGGGACTCTCCTGAAGTAAGAATGCCATTCCTAAGCATCCAGGGAGCACTGCAGAAGCTGTCAATATTGCGACACACAAAGGACCCATGTCAAATCTACAGGTAGATAGGTTACCAAAAGTATATTTATCCTGAAAGGACAATTTATAGCTCACCTTAACGTAAACTGAATAGGGGCCAAGTCGAATGATTCAACATAAATTTTCCTGTGTCTTCGAGCCAACAAGTGAATATGCTGCCAAGGAGCTCCTATTGGAACCACTATAGGCAGAGCTACAATGCTTCTCTGGCTTTTGTTAAATACAGGAATGTTTCTTGCATGTGGAGTATCTTCTGAACTTATATCCTTGGAACCAGTGTCATAAATCAGAGGACGTAGCGTTGGATCTGAGAGTGGCAGGAGTCTAGCCTGAGAATTGGGAAGCACTGCTTTTACAAACTCTAGTAAGGATAAAAGTGTTTGTAGCTCGAGCTCAAGTCCAAATTCACCAATCCTGCATTTGTTTAAAGCAAACTGAGAATTGGGAACAAAATGTATATATTTATAATACAATGAACTGAGTGAATACTAAGGAGAAAGTAGACCATGAATCATACCTAATATTTATGTACTCAAAAGAAACTAGTGAAACATCTTTTTTCCGCCACTTTGCTAGGCCAACATAGACTACTGCATCACGGGAATTACCCCTAACTTGCTGAACAGTTTCACTTAAAAGTATTGCTTTTTTATTCTTAACTCCCCAATCAGGAGGAATGCCTTTGTGGTCATGATTGAACGACAATATGACAGGATACGAAGAATTGTGAAGTGGGTTGTCTATCTGTAGTGAAGAGATCTGAAAGGAAAGCTTCTGCTGATCTACACTCTGACTTAACTCTAACACAACATTTGATGCACAAGCATAAACCAATTCCTGTGAGGAGGAAGATTGGAGCATTACAAAAATATTGGGATGTAATATAGACGTGCTTTATATTCTCAGGGGATATTTACCTGTGGATGAGAATTAACCAAAGATATACCAATGCTTGGCAGGACAAGCAAGAACCTTTCTGTGTAACGGATGACATTATCAGTTTGAAGCTTTTGCTTTCCCTTCACATGGAATCTGGAGTCAAACGTTTCCTTTATATCTTTCATAGTGTGATAACCTGAATCTACAACACTGAAAACCTGGAATGGGAAAAGACAAAATTAACAAGTTGCATCAGCAACAGAGAGAGAAGTAGTTGTCCTCAGAAAGTTAGCTTAGTTAAAGATATTGGTATCAGAGAAATTATACCTTTGTAGCTCCTTCAGCACAGATAGATAGCAACAGCGTCCTTTCAGGTTTCTGAAGCAGGTCAATTAATAAAATTAAGTAGATAAGAATACCTGAGACTCACTGATAGAGTGGCTACATACAACTGAACAAGGATATATTTCGTCCTCTAAGCACATCTTTGCATTTATTATGTGAAACTCAAAAGAGAGTATTATAAGAAGGAAAAAGTGAATGAAGTTGGTTGATCTTATCAATTATATACTTTCTTTTCATGTGATTAGCTGACATATGTTTTCGTTTTTAGATTCATTCAGTATCAGTGTAACTTAAGGTCTAGCAACAGAAGATATTTATTTAGCCAGGATGATGATACTGACTTGAATTTCTGCATACATACAAACAAAAAAAAAACAAAGCATGCATTCATATCGTCCAGAGCTGCATGCGACTGGATATTGAAAAGTTTAATCCACTCCATCTCATCATTTTAGCAGGCCCAGAAAGCCTATACTGTTCGAGTTCAAACTTAATTTGGAAAGGAAATTTGGAGATACTCTACATTAGGCTAAAAGACTCGAGGACCTAACTCACTCAAATTTCATGCGAATATTATCCTAAATTAGACTAACGAGAGATTGGCTAGTATTTTTTTGTTCATAACCAATGCACAACGAAAGTATGCTGGTAAGATATTCCAATTATATAGATGCGTCTAGAATGTACGAACCACTCAGCAAAAGCAATGATAACCACAAATATATACATAACAAAGTTGTTTGTGATATATACCTCAGAGGTGGAGCGCAAGTGCACTGCAATAGGTTGTTTTGTTATCTCAAATGCATAAGAGCCTATGACACGATCTCCAGGCACCTATATACATCAACAAGAGAAAACAACGTAAGAAAGGGAAAGGAAGAGAACAGCGGCAATGATAAACTTCAATAGATACAAAGGACTGATTTGTTAATAAGCAGAAAATGTAATCACCATACCTCAATGGTCAAACGATGTGGATAACAGGGTTCATCCCAAGCATAAGGGCAAGATGTGTAAGGATGAACTATGGTATCAAAAGTTTCACATTTTTGTTGATAAACCCTCAGTCTCTATCACCACAAAAAAAATCCATATTCAGTTCCTTGTGGGAGTAAGTAAGGATTACAAAATCAATATGATATCACACATCGGCGATTCAGAAAGCAAGTTTTCCAGTAGGAAAATGTTTTCACCAACAATTACATTAGGTCCCAAAATTACATGCTACAGTAAAGACAACTAGCATAGCTCACACGATTGATACCAAAGAGAATCAAGTACAACTTTAGGTCTGATAGATATCGATTACTCAATTTAATGTTCTGAATGCTTTGAAGTATACAGACAATGGTACTTAAATTTGTAGAGTTGAAAGACCTGTGAACTGACAGGAAGAATAACTAAAACTCTTTAGTTGGATTTAAAGAACCATCAATCGTAACAATACTGACCTCATTCGAGAAATTATCAATCCTGTAAGGCATATAACCCATGTCGTCATCTGATAATAGAATAAAGTTTGTCCCGACATGTCCATGAACACTCCCTACAATCTTTTCATCTCCGCTTGACATATTGGCATTCTGAACTTCCACCCGCACCATGTTGAAAGCTTTATTAACATAGTTCCAAATCTTCAGTTGAGTATCCCCTAAATGATCTGGCAAGAAGCTGCCTGACCATTGCCATCCAGGCTCATTTAAACGGATTGAAACTAGTAACTCCCTGTTTATATAGAAGAGTAAGTGGCGTATAGGTAGAATCTTTTAACTGTAAATTCTCTCAGTACAAGGTAAGGTAAATATAGCAACAGTGGTGGTTTCCAAATAATTTCCAGATTTTGAGGGATGAGAAACGGAATTATTCACCCCTTAATACGAAGAATGTGTTATAAGACTTAAATAAGTAATGAACGAACCTCGCAGTATCTGTCCATTGAAGCTGACAATGCTGTCCAACAGCCAGATGAGAAACTAAATTGGTTCCCTTCTGCTTGTAACACAAGTTATGGCTGCATGAATTACAGATGACATATCTGCAACATGGGAATTTGTTTAGTGGATACATAGGGATGATGGTTCAGGAGAAAAAAAGAGCATTTGGTGAAACTGTCTATCACCTAGGTTGGAAAGTAATTGCTTGCGTTCTCCCTGCTAATGCACCACCAAGAATAGAACACGTAACAGATAATAAAGATGATTCACCAGGCGATGGTTGTGGGACAATTACATTGGTAGAACCACTGGGTGGAACAAGAGGAAATGGAGCAGACCACAGGGGGTATGGGCTACTTGAATTATCCCACTCTGGCAGGTCCCTTTTGACTCGGATCATGGTGTCACTGGCCCTGGAAATAGGGCAAGGTGAATAAATGCATGCCTTTACTTTGCCAGACTCATTACCTTGGAAGCACACCTCTCTTAAACTTTTTGAAGAAAGACTCCTCTTGCGAACAATTGGTGAGTCTTTTGGATATGCTACAAAAGGGACTTGGCGAGTTGACTGAGTCGCATGCCTATCCAAAAATCTCTCAGTACTGGAAGCAGTGTTGCTGCACTCCGATGAGGAAGGACTAGAAGGGATATCCTCCATTAGAACTTTATCTAGCAAATCTTTCTCAGAGGTCAAAATCCCAAGACCAACTTTTTGACTTTGAACAAAATGCTGCTCAATCAGGTTGTAGCAGGAGGGAATTACGCTGTACATCGCTTTAGTTTCATTGGTGCAGTCCGAAACAATCAGAGGAGTTCCAGTGCAGTTGTACAATAGAAATGGGACAAAGATGAATACTTCCCGAGCCCCACATGTTGCATCCATTGTTTTCTCACACGATACATAAACAGAACCTATAAGATAATCAATATTAAAATTGTCTCAAAATGAGTAGCCAATTTAAAACATAAAGAGATAAACCTTACCACCACCAACATAAGAATCAAAGGAAATAGTTTCAATCTGAGAGAACTTCCCTCCACTGAACTTAGCCGCTGTGCTAAAAGTTTCTGAGCGTGAAAACTTCAAAGATGATGATCTATAGCCATTTAATTTGAACTCAAGGACCAGATCATGTGAAGGATCAATGTGATGGAATGGCGTCTCCCCCTAAAAAGATACATTTTCTTGTCACATATATAATACCATATCAACCATATAAAAACATGATTCAACTCTATCTTCCAGAAGGAAATTGTATGGAAATATCTCTCAGACCTCAGGAAGGGATGCAGTCTGAGTGATGCCACCACTTTCTATCGAAAGTGATATTGGTTCTGGAAGACAGTTGCTCACAACAAATGGAGTGCTTAAAGTTACTTGATGAATGACTTGCTCTCTTGATTGGTCAAGATCGTGCAACTGCTGACCAAAATTTCCATCTGGCAAATCATTAAGATGAAAGGATGCCGGCAAACTAGTGCTCTGAACAGATATGCAACACCGAAATGGTTCATGGCTAGGGTGACAAGGATAACAAGCAAAAGATCGGCGAAATCCTATCCTGCTATCTTGAGAAAGAACTTTGGAGATGCTATGAGCTTCACTCCACAAATAAGAATCTCCGAGGGGACGCCACCGAAGCCGGCCAGATTTAGCCAAGTGTAGAGGCAGTGGAAATTCTTGACCAGGAAAAATAGGATCTAGGATCTGAAATAGAATTGACATAAGAAGAATAAAAGATGGTGTTAAGATCAACCAGGTAAGGCAACTAGAAAAGAAAAGAAACAAAGCTTAATTTTCTTAAGAAGCACAGAAACAGTGTCTGGTACCGATAGAACAAACTGGCATATTAGAATTCAATAACCTTTGGGGAGATGCCAAACGGAATATCAAAGCGAAGTTCCAATGGCATGGATGTGGAGTTCAAAATTATAACCTGAAATAAGGGAAAGGTCAAACGCAGAATCAACATTTATAAGAACAAATATACATTGTAATTACGTCATACATACAGTAGAGTATACTCGTATCAACTTGCTCTGCTGCTGCAATGAAACCTCGTACACAACAGGAACAACAAAGCTGCTTCCAGAACCAGATTTACTTGCTTTCTCAACATTATCACTGGAGTTCGATGTTTTGGAAAAATCAACCTCAAAATAGGAAAGGCCAATTCGATCCATTGAATGAGGAGGAGAAGCAAAAGATGTTCCATCAAGTTGGACCTTCATATAATGATGTATGGCATCACCAGATTCACTGCTGAAACAACCAAATTGACTTCGACGTCTATCAGGAATAAGTAGTGTGTCACTATTATCGATATAGATGGGAACAGAAGAACCGGGTTGCACAAAGTTCTGAGCCACTGGAGCTGACATATTTAGCACATCTGAATCATGTCCTTGAAAAACTTGGTACCCCAAAGGAAGAGAAGTTAAATTTTGAAATACATATGGGGAATATCGTTCTGTCCTGGTACTTTTGGTGCAGTAAACTGACAATCCCTTATCATCAGGAATGACATCTGTTTCCATCAATTCCAAAGTGTTCGACATCTCAATTATCCTGAAAATGCACTTCAGCAGAGAAAGGACAAAATTAACATATATGGAACTTAGGGTTTAAAGATAATGAATTTGCCAAACATATTTCCGTTGATGATTGATAAGGAGTGAGCCAAACCAAGCCCACAAAGACCATTGGGTAGAACTGACAACAAAAACTAGTTAAGGGTTTTGGTGCCCTGAGGTTTTCTAAAGTTTTGATTTGGTTCCCTCCCATCCGATGTGAGATTATTTGAATACCCAGAGTCTTATCAATAATACAAGTAGACAGAAAGTTGGAAGCTACTCATCCTATCTGAAAACTAGTGAGAAATATGATTATAGGATTTAGCACCAAAATCACAGTATTAAACCAAGCTGACTGAAACTAACCAGTCCCTGCCAATATTAATTAATACAGAAGATTTTAACAGGGTAGAAATTATATCTATCTTACCTCAAAAAGAGATTCTGTTATGTTCAAATTGAGATGATTTGATGATGCAACAATTACTTCAGTGAGCCCAGCATTGTTCAGCAAAGAATTTGCATCAAATTTTCTGGATAATTTGATATCAAAATTCCAGGGCTCAATAAAAGGCTCCCACAAGACCTTCAACATAGATCCACAGGTGGTTATCAGCATACTACCAAAACAAAGATAAAAATGACAGCAGGATTCTGTTTCTGCCTCGTACCTTGTGCATATTATTATAATTCACTTCAAGATCACATGAAACCAAACTCTCCATATTCTTTTCGGTCAGATTAGCTTGCAGGAGAAAGTTTCTCATAAGACCTTCAAGAAGCATACCGCTACATCCCCACTGCATGAGAATATAGAGACAGAAGAAGTCTTCAGCAGAAGTAGCTCAAAAATTTCAAGCTGACCAGTGGCATATATAGTGCAAAAGCTAAAAGACAAGGAGCTCACAGACAATCATGGAAGAAAATATGTTCTAGAAAACAGAACGCAGACCCTTACCAACCAAAATTCACCCATCAAATCAAGCTCGTCGGTGAAGAAATATTAAAATCGTCATCTTAAGCACTAATTACAAAGAAGTACCATAAAAATTCATACATTAACTGATCACGAAGACAAACACACGCAGTACAAGGTATATGCTAATGCAGCACTTGATGAATATAAAAGTGAGATCAATGGTGCAGTGTATTCTTAAAAAATTACATTAGCATGTAGAAATCGAGCAAAGGGATGTGAACTGCCAAACAAAGACATGGACTGGCACAACAGAAGTGGCAACACAATAACAATGATATACACATAAGCAGCAAAAGTGAATAATTGTGAGGCCAATTCTGTGTGAAAGAACATTGAGAGATGTATTATATAGTATATAAAGCACAAGCGTACCTTTCCATCAGATATAAGAAGAGACACATCTCTTATCTGGACTTTTATACTCATGTTTCCTTGCGAATTTTGTGAAGATGGTGTCTCAGGTGCATCAAACGTAATTCCATGCCAGAAAGATAATACTTGATGAGATGCATGCATCTCTACATTGTCAGACAATATCCCCACATCTATGCTCATGATTTTGTTCTGATCCATCTGAATACTAGTTTCTACAAGTAGTTGTGCCGCCCCAAATAGAGAGCAAGACCTGACAGTGTCAACCCCAGATATTGCAAGAATCCCATTGAGTTTTTCAATCTTATAGCTCAGTTTGACATCTCTCCCAAGAATAGAGAGTTCGCCGCTCCTACTACGCGCTGTAACAGAAACATATTTACAGTAATTCCCTTTAAAAAAATTTCTGTGCTCTTCCTCAGATATCTCATGAACATCAGTTGCCATGAACCCTGGAAATTCTGTATGGCTTGTGCAAAGAGGAAAATGGATTTGGACCCCAATAGTCTCTGATCTTGCGGAAAATGCCATTACCTCACTAGAGTTCTCTGATACCTCAGTTTGCAGAACATTCAAAACCCGATCAGTATTGTCACAAACAGTCCTTACCACTCCAATAGATTCATCCATATCCAAGTTTGAACCTTTTGACAAAAAAGGGTCTTCCAGTATCTGAGAATAAGATTTCAGAAGTTCAATAACTTCAATCCAATCAAAAGAGTGTAACCAGATGTCTAGAGATGGAAGAGAAAAACAGAGATCGTATTCATTTTCAGCCTGTTCCGTAAATCTGACTTTCAGTGCAGAAGGATCCCCATATGCATTGATGCATCTAGCTAACATGACTGAGCTCAGCAATGAATAAATCCCGATTTCGAAAAATTGAACATCCAAGCTCATAGGGAAATTATTTTTAAATTCTCCAGAGCAAACAAATTTCATATCAGCTTGGAGCACTGGTTCGGATAGCAGTGTTCCAGGATCTTTCCTTAACCGATGCAATTTTGCCGTCAAAAGATTGACAAAAATTCTGAATTTTATAAAGCTTGTGGAAGATCCCAGGGGGGCAACTGACAACTCTTGCTTTAGACGCATCTTCGTACGAAGAAACTGAGGAACATCAGACACGAAAAGTTTTGATTCCTCATCGACTAAAGAAAGCTGATCAAACACATCAAGAAATGCCTTAAACCCATCCAAGGCATCTGAATCTGCAAAGAAAAAGAAAAAAGATAACACATGTAAGCATTACTTGAAATACATGATCACTGTAGAAAAACAGAGAGGGTTGAGGAGCAAAAGTTAACATGGAGGGAAACACCACCTACCATCCACAACAATTTCACAAACGTCAACCCTTGACATAACACATGCCAAATCCGTTAACGGATTGCGATCACAAGGGAAGCTAATCCAAGCATCAGCGATAATGCTAGCAGCTAGAGTGATACTTCTGCACATGGCGTCATTCTCGAATGTTGATATGCCACTCTCAGAAAGCAGCAACGATACCGATAAGTCCCGCCCAAATATGTTTAAACAGTCAGCTCGCTCTGCTACTTGATTAAGCGGAATAACACATTCCTGTGGTATGTGCTGCACCACATTGCTCAAAGCACACTCTGGAACAAAGCTAATATATAACTGCTGAATGTCAACTTTCAGTTGCCGGCGGTCATCATCTTCCACAGGAAGAACTATAGAGGAGTCCAGTATCTCAATTTTATAAGCAATGGCAAACTCAGAAGGAGCCTTGGTCAACTCAGTAGCTTGTGGCAATGACTGCAGGCCAGACTTCGAAGTCCAGTCAGAAAGAGAGAAGTAGCCAATTATAATGGCCAGATATTCCGGAGGTAAAATGCAGCATGTGTGTTGAATACCTATGCTCACTTCAAGTTCAGAACCAGAAGGCTCCAAATCCTTCTTCCTTACACGTAGGTTCAAGACCTGCGAGACATCTGTTGATGAATGTTTCCAAAGAAACCCACCAGAATAGTTGGTGAACAAAGATGACTCCAGCATCAAGTCTTCAGCAGAGGCAACCAAATCGAGATGATCATCTGAAATGGTAAGAAAGTATCTGGATACTGGCAGTATAATAGTTCCAAAAACACTTGAAGAATCATGAAAATGCACATTGGTGTTGAAGACATGCATATCAACTGTAAAGTGATTGGTCTGACCAAGATCACTGGAGGACGCAAGCCCATTCAGAGGGCAATCACGTTTTGGTTGAAAAGTACAGCTGTTACATTCGCAGTTCAAACCTATTTGTGCCCCATCCTTTTTATTCCTTAATATAAATAACTTCCTCCAGTCAGAAGTCGAATAACACAGAGAACTTTCTAGGCTATCAAGAGAACCCGAATTGTAAATGGTTACAAATGGATATTTGTCAAGAGGAATGCAGCCACAAGATCTACTTTCAATGAAGTTTGAGAATCCAAACCTTTCAAAATCAAACTGAGTAATTTCTGCTGGAGCACTGGTATCTGTAGTAAGGCTAGATGGATTTGTATCGCTAGACGAGATCTTATAGGAGGCTATCTTATCCAAAAAATTTGTCAGCAAACCAAATATGTATGGGTAGCAATGGAGTTCAGCGCCCCTCCAATATACTGTATACTTGTGAAAAACAAAACTTTTACTTTGGGAAACCTTGCAATTTAAGCTGATAGCAGCTTCAGGAGTTGTTCCGTAATCAATAATGTTGGTTTGATCGCTAGTATGAGCATCCATCCCATGTCCATGGGAAGAAGATTTGAGTAGATTTCCAGATGAACATAAAATATGACTGTCAGCTGCATCTTTAGAGGAGCAAGCTGTCATTTCCAGTGTTTTCGCACGGACTGACCACTCTTCAAATTTGGTAAGCGAATACCTGCAAATGACGATTGTACAAGGGAACTTGTCAGGAACCCCCAGTGATACAATATTTAACAATTGAGAACCAAGAGAAAAAGAATTGAATGGACGTGGTTTTGACAATGACATCAGTAGATGAGTTATAGGTAGTGATCGTAAGACCAAATATGTGTGATAAGAAGCATGTGAACAAGCAGACATCACCATGGTAAATACAGATATACAACAACAAAAACGCTAAATTCATGCTTGTTTAATAGCTAAAGGTTAAATTTCCACTGATACTGTATAAAGACACAAAATGGGCTACTTTTACCGTTGCAACAATTACCTACCAGAGATCCAGTTGCTGTATAGAAAGAACAAGCACTGTGCTATTTTCTCCTTCATTTTCGAGATTGACGTGCAACCTGAAAAATGCCAAGTTGGTTTTTATGGTGAAGTGAAAGATGGGAGCAGGGGAAGGTGGAGCATTTCGAGCTGCATGATCCTGAATATCAAGATATTCAATCACAGACATGACTCCTTTAAATATTGACGGAGAGAAATGGACATTGAACATAGGCAGAGTAGCTTCAACCTGAAAATGAATGGAATGGCAAAAAAATCAATTCCAAAATGTGGTCGACGCCTCTATTAAAGTACAAGAAATAAGTAAGTTTATCATTCACTCAGCTAAACTTAGACACAGCCACCTCAAACCTGAGATAAATTTTAATACCTCCAACTGCTTCAAAATCGACTCCTCCGGAATTATACAAGACGCAAACTTGATAAGTAAAGATGATTTCTCCACAAGGGGAAGTTCTTGGAAAGGATAAATCTTCATGAGCTTCATCTGCACAAGTAAGAACATATGTGATTGCTTAAACAGCTCCAATCAAAAAGAAAAAGAAAATTAACATAAACATATCTTACCTCAAGGTTACAGATTTTGATATCAAAATGGTCATAGAGATCTTTGACTTGAAAAGCATCCAAGGCTGCAACGGAAACGGAACTTTGTAAGCTATTGACCACATGGTCCGCATCAGACTCCAATCTTGGACTTGGGCTAAGAGCATCTGTGCTACTAGATGTGATAGAAAGAGATTCCAATACCAGAACCTGTACAAGGAAATGCACAGAAAGATAGAATAAAAACTGAGAAGGATACAAATAAGAAAACACACACACTTATATGTTTATATAAGCGAAATACCAGATTATAGCTTTCTGATTCAACCAATCGTCCAGGGAAACTTAAGGTAAGATCTATTATGTCCAGGTCCCACTTAACTTTATTTCGGCTTGATAAGAGGTATCTATGAAACAAACCACGACACAAATAAGTATCACGATCAATTAGGATATGAATTTATCCCTAACATTTCGATAGAGGAAACACTTACTCAGCTTTCGCTACCAATCGCGTTTCACTTTCAAGGCCATTGAGTGATGATAAAATCTGAGCCACAAAAGAGAATTGTTATTGGGTTCCTTTGTCAATTCATAAATACAATCTATAGAATTCATAAGTCCAGTACAATCACAGAGACAAACTGACATTATATTCTACTTATAACCACACTTGCTTAAAACTTGTTTTTCAAAAACTTCACTAATTATTTCAGAACAAACATTACGAGCATGTAGTAAAATAAGAGCTCACCCTTTCATGTTGTAGTTTGAAGTATCTTGAACCCATGAAAAATTTACTGACAGCTAGAAAGAAGTCTACATCATAAGCAGCTTCAAGTGGTTGAAGGGTGACCTACAGAATCAAGATGCAAAAATCTATAACAAAGTCAATCCTAATAGTAAGCTATGAAAAAAGACCAAGACTCCTAAGAGGAGCAAACATTGTGTTGTCCACTGATGCAAGGTGCAGTTAGTTCACCTTTAATGACAATGCAACATCATGATCTTTAGACAACTTCAATCGTGCTCCATATGAGGGTTTCGTTTCTAGTGTATCACTCTGAGAACAGACCTGCATGAAACAATTAAATTATTTTTCCTGTAAACATTGTGAAAAGCGCTAAAATCGATTTTTATAACAGACTACGGAGCATAAGTTACACCTAGATGGTTCATATCACCTTAGTAAACAAGTACTAGTTTGATAATGTTCATGATTTCAGATATTAGCAGTTATTAACAATATGGCATAGGGGTAACACAATATTACGACACAAACCCCTTTCATGGTTAAAATTTCTTTCCCATTGTGAGGATAGAGCAGCCTTCCAGAAATAACAGATACAATCATGGCTGTAGAATCTTTCCAAGACTTGCATTCAACAATCACCCCCAAAATGTCCAACTCTGTAATAACTTGAGAAGAACTCCTGCGGAATAAATAAGATAAAAAAGAATGAAAATACAAACTCTAAAAGGCAGAGGCCAAGATGAAGTAACTGAGAAATTGTAACTTACCCAGTTATATGTTGCAAAGTACCAGAAATTTTGGGTACGTTGAGTCGAATGGAGCACGTACAGATCTTACCAGTTGCACTTGTATTTCTAGGAGATGACGAAAGAGGGTGAAACTTTGTTGCCTTGTGTATATCCTGCAATGGATGAACAGTTACTAGGATGTTTCAAAGAATTCTGAAACTCCATTGCTACTAAATGGTACTTAAAATACCTTGACAACTTCATCAGAAACAACACCAGAAAACTGACTTGAGTCCTCTGTGCCTCCGGCACCAAGCATTCCCCGTGACAACCAGTTCAACCACCCACGCGACTTATTTAATGTAGGATCATCACTCGGTTCCTTTTCAGAGCCAGTGGCACCAGTCGCTCCCATGTTCACTGTCAATTCTGAACAAGCTTCCTGCATAATAAGATCCAAAGGTAAAAGGACAGATAATAAATTGCTATTGCTAGGACATCAACTTCTGATAGATATCTGAACAGCCTTTGGTATCTCAGCCAAAGTATAAAATGCTACAACAGCAACCTAATTTACCATACCTGCATCTCACCTTCCGCTGCAGACCTATAACTTAAGATATCATCAATATCAGACTTCTTCTCCACTTCTTCCAAACCCAAACGGATAGACTCATCGATTGACTGTAGCCAGAGACATAAAGCACAGCCATATTAGTAGAGAAGTCACTTGACAAGAAAAACTCAGGTTTTACAATTATATAGATGATTAGATATGAAGGTTACACCAATTAGTTGAACAAATATGTCCAACGTAAAGCATCTTAGTAACATATGTTGGAGACTAAGGCAAAGCAACAAAAAGTTTAGGGAAGAGAACAATGAACATATGTATTTCTTTCAGTCAGCAATTTCAGAACAACTACATTTTTACGATGATAAGCTCCTCTAGAGTATTTTATTGATGTTAGAAGAAGATTAAGTGTTTCTTCAATTTCCGTTTTTTGAAATGTATGATGACGCTTAAACCAAGTATATTATGCAATTTCTACCTCTGATTCCAACATTCCAACAAGTTTAAAAGTTCCCTTAACTGCTACAGCTACCTATGCAATAAACCAGAATAAATCATTCATATGGAAGCACATGCTAAGATATAACATTTTCGAAAATGGCAGCCCTTATTGAAATATGCTTCTAAATCATCTTCTCCTTACCACTACGCATTCTTAGAACACAACCAGATGATTAATCACCTCATACTATGCTCCCTGATGGACTTATATGATGTGAAATGTGCTTCTAAACCATCTCCTTACCACTACCCATTCATATACATGCTGCTGCAGTAGTTAAGAGGACAAAACACATTGAAATGAAAAACCACCTCATGAGATGCTCCCTAATTATGTAAAATCACCTAAAAATAATGAGGCTTCTATATCTACATAGAATCCAACGGGTTGGGTTAGGCAATTTCATGCAGTTAAACAAATAGGAGGACACAGAGCAACATAATGAACAAACCCTGACACTTCTAATCAGATAAGGAGGAAAATAAGATCCTTGCCTGTTCTCTGAGAAGGAAATCTAGCTTTATCTTGTAGAAGTTGATATACCTCCTGCGCATTCTCCTGTATTTTTTCCCGAAACAAAAATCTAAAAATTAAGCAGACCGCTTGAATATATTCCGGGAGTATTTTTCTATTTATGCCATGAAATAGTAAGTTATTTGCGTGGAAGTAAAGTATACAGAAATTTTAAGAGAATCAAAATTGTAATAGCTATGTGATTAAGTATCATCTAATTAAAATAAAAGAAATGATGTCAGAAAAGTAAACTTACATTCGCTGTTCAAGAAATCTCCATGAAGTTTTCCACAGTTTCTTATGTACATCAGATAAAATTGATTTTTGGGCATAGTGCCACCAAAGTTTCTGCCATCCTGGTGGTTTCCTCAATAAGGAAGTGGAGCAGGGACGATACCGCCCATACCTAAACCATTTAAAATGTTCTTAAATCAGTAGTTCTTCGAAAAGTTCTGTAGTGTCAAATAGTAGAGCTAAAACTCAGGAGAAAAAAAAATACGAATTGAGGAAAAGTTATCGCTACCCTAATGAAAGGCTTACCTCTCACGCAATTGGCTGGTTTGCAAGTAATCTAACAGAATAAGAATCTGCTGCAATTGAAATTCATTCAGAGTCATGACCTGAAACGCATAAGTGGAAGTTAGAGTGAGTCATGAAAATAAATCTTAGCTCTGAACCTAGTTCAGCAATTTCTGAGAACTAACCACATCAGTCAACTCAGCGCTGATAGAATACTGAGGAAGATCGTCAAAAATCTCTCCAGATCGATTGACCTATGCAAAGAAGTGTATCAGGCAAAATGAAGAATGCCTATTTACATACAGCACAAAAATGCACTCAAACAATAGCTGATGCACACCAATGTGCTTTCTGTACAAATATTGTATCATTGATCAGATCGCTGTAAAAATCTTTCACCAAATACAATGTCCATATGCAGCTGATGGTGACAATTAAACGAATTGGCAAAAACGGCAATGTAAATCATTTCTAGTAACATTGACTGATTAAAATGTCATCAAAATTGCGTAGGCCATCAGGTAAATCAAGAAATAGACTCAGTACAGCAGATATAACATATAAATGTGTACATCTCATTTTTAACATAACCGTAAAGCTAGAGCAAGGATGCAGCGCCTTGAAGCAGCAACAAAGATTAGATGCTAACAAAAGATGTTAAAAGACAGCAAACCAATGACGCTGTTTTAGATCCATTACCAATAGCGTTACAGAAACATGGACTGGCTTCAGTAAATAACCAAATCTATTGCTTTGCAATCTTGACTGGCACCAGTTGTCAAAACCTCTTTTTTCATTAACACTTGGAAAGTCCATGTTTCCCTCATACATGTCACAATATATTTCCAAACCTTCAATCTCCACAAGTATATTCACTTGCCCCCCTCTCACCCTACCAACTGATGGCCTGATATTCAACAGAGACATCATGTCAAATATTTCAGGGTGCACATATATCCACCATGATCTTATCTTAGCAACAACAATTTAGCTTATGGAAGAAACAGGTATTAAGGAAATTTTACAGTAAGAAAAGAGACAGTTGGAAGAAAGTTATAATGGGGTATACTCTATGCTGTCTCACAATGTGACTCAAAACACATCACCTTACCATAGTGTAAAGCAAAGCTACAAGGAATCAAATACGAAAGTGGAATATATTTTTAAGTGATATAGAAGAAACAAGGCAACTGGAAAGAAATTAATGTGGGGTATGCTCTCTGCTGTCTCACAATATAATTCAAAGAACATATCCTTGCCATAAAAATAAAGCAAAGCTCAGAATCAAACACAAAGTGGAATATATTTTAAAGTGCCAGAGAAGGTGCATAAAGAGATTACCCAACTGAGTTTTGTTTAGTAACTGTCAAGCTTGAAAACCGCAATCCTAATACAACTTGCACCTGCGACAGCAGTTTAGAGTAAAACATATGAAAGTGGGAAAGTAGACAACACCAAACGATTGTTCAAATTGTACTCTAGTGAATCGCAAGAAAGACTGATAGTAATTTAGAATCACAATGCTCAAATATTTAAATCTATCTAGATTCATAACCTCCATGATAAATGTTATGCTCTCACAAATAAACCAAGATCACAGAACGATTATCGATGTATACAAGTTTCTACAATTGCAATGGGAAAATTACAAAATACAAGCCTATATTCTAGCAAACTAATTAAACAGAACAAGCAGAAGGCTTACTGATTCAGGTTGTGCATCGGAGTATAAGATGTGAAAGTTTCTGATGGACACTTGAATGTTATCAAGAACCTAAGCCAATAAAGAAGGAAAGTTAACATAGCACAAAAAAAACAAAGACAAGAATGATAACCTCATCCAAAAGCAGGAAGATCTACACATCCTTAAAAACCGGCAACAGACCAATCATAATATGAAAAATGTAATATGCTAAAACTAAGGTTGCAAAAGGAGACTTGCGGAACATAATGTTACCTTGGCAGCAATAAATGAGAAAAAAGACTTCCCCGCTGGACTGTCTGGAAAAAGTAAAGATTGAAGGGGTTGAACAAATGTTGCATTGGAGCAATCTTAAAGATAAATAAGAAGGATATTTGCTCACCGACGCGCCTGGACAATTTTGCTAGTTCTGCAGCAGCAAGCTTAGCTTGCTTACCAGCAAACTCTCTTTTCTCAACGACATCTGAACTCCACTGCAATGACCATGCAATATATATGGGTTTAGAGGCAAACACTTGTCATGTATAGAAAAAAAAAGGCAACTATACAAGGAATTCACCTCTTGATCATTCCGTTGTGATGCACATATAAAGACATCTTCAAGCATAATGATTATAGGATCCCTACCAAGTTTCTTCCATGGAATTTTAATGCTCAATTTCCCAACACGGCCTAGATAAACAACAAACGATTTGATACAGACAAAACGAAAAAGCTGAGAATCGAAACTTCAATCGAGTAACTATATCACCTTGCTTGAGAGCAATTGGAAGCTGCAAATACTCAAACGCCTCAAGAATCAGTTCCACGTTCTCCAATAAGACTTCCCCTACAGTTAGAAGCACGAAATTGTGCGTAAATCATACAATAGAGTGAGAATAGAGCGAAAGAGAAGGAGAGAAGACGTGCAAATACCATTCCAGAGTGTGATCTTGAGCTGGTCTTTTTTAATGTCTTTGATGTAGCGACCTAAGTACCCTAACAACAGTTGAACAACTCCTTGCACAATTCCTTCAAACATCTTCAATCAATCACTATTTCATATTCCAGTAAAGAATTTTCCTCCGCCGGGAGAAGAAGAAAAGAGACGGTGGTCGGAGTAGTGCGAACGAGTCGAGGAATATCGTAGGGTTTTTTTCCCGTCGAAACAAATAGACTTGTCTTCTTCTTCACAAGACTAAAATTTCTTTCGGTTTAGTACCTTTCCTACCGAACCGGATCAGACCAAACGTGCCTAATGTTGATTACGCTAACCGGCTAATACGTAATTTGGGTTTTTTTTTACTACCTTTTTTCCCTAAGATTTTTCTAAACAAGTTTAAGAGAAACATTATTCATTTTCTCAGTTGAATGATTGGTTTTATAATATATATTTTTTTTGTGCAAAGATTGGTTTTATATATCTGAACCTTCAATCATGAAACTTTGTTTTTGTTTGTCAGAAATCATGAACCTTAACCCCTAATCCCAACATCTTAAACCTTAACCATTCTATAACCTTTGTCTACCTCATAAACTCGCAAGATTTGAACCCTAAACCCATATTCTTCAAATCTAACCATCATCACCGCCGGATCTTATCCCGACTTATTCTCACTCTTTGTCGTACACATATAAAGAAGTCGCACGAAAAAAAATGTGAGTGAGAAAATTTTTTGTCTACTTTTTTTTTTTTAAATAGTTTGTTTCTACTAACACCTTTAAGAAATGTGAGAATTTATTTATTTTATAAGCAAAGTTTCTCAACATTCAAATCCCCTAAACTAATTTTAGTTAGTCAAATGGAAAACAATAAAATCATGTCTTAAAACTTTTGGATCTAAATACCGTAACCTCTTGAATTAAACTCTTGATGTTGCAGACTCTTGGGGAGAATGTGAGTTTCGTGTGGTGGCGCTTTTAGCCTTCTTCGATTGCTAAAAGTGTGACAAAGGATGGTCGGTTTCATCTATATATATGGCACTTTGAAGGCCAACGGCCTGGCTCCACGATCAAGTGTGAAATGAAGCAAATTATTGAATTTCTTTTATTTTGTTCTAGTTTATGTTATCTCGGTTTTTCGAATTTTATTCGGATATAATTTTTTTATGAGCAGATGAAATTTTAATTAAAATTTGATCCAGATATAGTAGTACTATCAAAAGAAGCTCAACTATATGACAAGGAGGTATATGCTTCGGTTTGAGCCTTGGAGACTTGGCAACATTAACAGATTCGGCAAATGGTCTCATGATGTCCAGATAAACAATCTGAACATTCATATTAGATGAAAAAGTAAATAAGTAAAAACAAAAAAAAAGTAAAATACTATGATTGAGCAAATCAGCTGATATCTTCTTATATAGACTTTTCCTAGTAATGAGGCAAAGTAGTATAATTCATAAATTATACCTAGGAAGTCTAGTTCTCTTGGAGCTTCCTTGCACCATTCAATATTCATCTATCATGGGGCTAAAATTGTACTGTGCATGGTTCTGCCCACGCAATCCAATCAACAATGGACTTTGCATTCTTTCTTTTTTTTTTTTTTTGTCGTCTAAAGATCTTTATTAATGTAAGGTAACCAAAAACCATCAAAACAAAACATCCAAAATCAAAAAACAGAGCCCCACATAACAGAGCATTCATAGTATGAAAATCTTTCCATCTAAATCATCTTCTCTTTTCCGCTTCAAGCCGTGAATGTAACCAAGCCGGACCACCACGAGCTAGATATGATCGCACACGACCGTCTCTTGTGACACTCATAGCTATATCTTTTGCGATTGAATTAGCTTTTGGAGAAGACACCTTGAACACTATTTTACCAAAGTTTGATATCACCCGATGAATCCTATCAAGATAGGAAAGATATCTTGGCCAGTTTGAAGGATCAAGAATAGCTGAAATAGCAGCATTACAGTCGGAACAGATCTCAATGTTGTCCAATGCAACGCTGAAAGACTATCCAAAACCCATAGAATACCTCTTAACTCCGCAGCAATACAATTAATTACGGGCATAAACATGTCTCTCGCATGGAACACTGCATCTCCTTAGTGATTCCTTACTATCCATACTCCACCACATATGAGACTCATTTAACCAAGAAACATGGATAATTTACAGTGTAATATAGCCATGGATATTGGAGATCAGAGTGCATACCATGAGCTTGTAAACACACCGAGACTGCTAGTGCACCAGATAAAGCCCTCCATAAAAATATTTTGATCTTAGGTACAGTTTTAACAGTCCAAATCTTCTCTTTAAGAACTCTAGACTCTTGTTCCTGAGCAGATAATGGTGTAGACACAGTTTGCACGTTGGACAACAACCAATTGCCACTCTTAACCGTGTAACACCCAGACCGATTATAAGCCCAAATGTAACTGTCAGCCACGGCTATATTTGGAGGATACGACATAATTCTAACAATATCCGGTGGGAAAAACAGTTCCATTAGAAGATGATGATTCCAAGAGCCTTGGGGGGTAATAAGGTTTGAAACCCATAAATCTAAATCATACAGAGACTGTTTGTTGAAAGGACGACACGGAGCATTATCGAATATCCATTTATCGGTCCATACACTCGTCGTTTGACCATTACCTATGTTCTTTATGAGACCTTTTCCAAGCGATTCTCGACCATGAATGATGTTGCGCCACACATAAGAAGGTCTAGAACCGACCACAACATCCATAAAACCCTTCCGGTGATAATAGCGTGCTTTATATAATTTGGTTTTGTGAGAAGTCTCCAAGCTTGTTTTGCGAGTAGCGCTTGATTAAAATCACCAACTGCACGGTAACTTAACCCACCTTGTTTCCTTGTTTTACACATCTTTATAGCAACAGTATTCAAAGATATTGATAAATTTGATGCACGGAAACCCGAAACTTGATGCCTTTATAGCAACAGTATTCAAAGATATTGATAAATTTAAGGATCAGAGGAGGTGAAGTCTCAACATATTTTCCTTTTACAACTCCACATTTTCAGAGAAAAGTTACTTATCATGAGAGATTCCTGATGTTGTTGTGCCTTTCGTTTTTGGTTTGGGAATTGGCTTTCCATGGAGACAACAAGGCCCATGATAATAAGGTCAGAAACTCCAAAGTATGTAACACACTAACTTAAGCAGAACTAATGCTTCTATGGTGACAATGATTTGTACATCATTGTAATTCGGTTGGTTGCCTATGGTGGATTTCTTAATCAGAGTTGTTAATTGGTTTAGCAGATACTCTTATTCTTCACACTGGATATGTGATTTGTTAAAAATGTTGCACATGAAACGAAATAGATAAAGAAAAGAAAAGGAGTAACTTATTTACTGAAAACCTGCAAAAACCAACGACAAGCAAAATTCAATCCTGAAACTTAACTGGGACAAGGCTTAAAAGGTATCAAAGTATAGCCTAACATAGATAGAAAAAAAGAAGCAAGTTTCATTCAAAACACATGAGAATGAATACTCAAAACAAAGATCATTAGTCATTACTGACAGAAGCAGCACTCCACAACCTTAGAAATGATCAATACCGCAAGAAGAAAGACAAAGCCGCCCACAGCCCACATAGAAGCCTCAAACCCCACATAAATAAGAGACTCCACGGTGGCCCCCAACCTTAAATTACAGCTACAATCTACTACAAAACCTAATGTAATTTTTTTTAAAAGAATGAACTACCTCAAAAAGAATTTACCATGTAATCTAATTAAACAAATTAAAATAATTAATAATATCTTAATAAAATAATTAGCTTAAATCATTAAAACCCCAAAATGGAATTAATTGTGGGGACCATTACTTGTCTCCTTTACGTGTCCCTCTTAGATAATTAAAAACCCAAAATGGAATTAGTGTATTCCTTTTTCGAGGGAAAAACGAACAAAAAAACATAACAAAAATAAGTTTAACCAAAATAAATAATAATAGAGCTTCAGAACTTCCAAAATGTTTTCCGCCTTTATATTCAAAATAATAGAGCTGTACAATAAATCACCATAACTTTTGTCAAATTCCTACAAAATAGAAGACTTCAAATCATGAAAAAAAACTGACAGATAACTCAAATAAAATATTAAAAATGAAGTATTTACTTGTAGCACTTGTGAGAAAAATGGCCATGTCTATAAGGTCGGATTTGGTGGCAGCGACATTTAACTGGCTATCGGGAATAAGAGTTGAACGTACATAATTTGAACATAAGTCAAAATATTTTTTATTCTTACATCAAAATTTCTTAGTTTGAAAATTTCTTACGTTTTCTTGTTCATCTTCCATTTAGAAAGAAGGAATATAATATTAAAATAAAATAAAATGATAGACGAAGAAAACTAAAGAGAGACACGTGAAAGAGACGATTAATGATCTTCATAGTTAATTTAATTTTGAGTTTTTTAATGATTTAACATAATATTTTTTATTTAGATAATATTAGTTATTTTAATTTTTTAATTAGATTACATGACAAATTCTGATTAGTTAATTAAGAGGCCCAACACCGGCGTGAAGCAATTCAAAAGAGAGAGGACCCATTAGACCATCGGTAAAAGCTCCCTAAATACAACCCATTGTGGTGACTACGGCGGCAACTTCTGTTTTGACAACTAAGACTTGAAACCAGTTTCAATCTCCTTGAATTTGACTTGAAACTGTTGAATTGGATTCTGTTGATCCTTCATTAAGCTCATCATCGCCATTGTTTCTTCCTCTTGTCTCCTTCTCCGTTCTTTCCCCATTTGTCTCTCTTCTTAATCTTAATTTGTCACACTTTTCTTCTTTCTCCTTATCTCCCTCCTTTTTGCCGTTTCCGAATTTCTACGATGTATTGATTGGGCCATCTTAATAGGCACATAGGATGGTATTAGATTACTTTACTGGCCCAAAAGATAATAGCTACATGTTTTTTTTTTAAATGTTAGAGTATGTTGTTTTTGTAGATGCCAACGACCATCTATCTTTAATTCATTTTACAAGTTTGTATTCAGCCCTAAAATCTGTAACAAAATCTTATGATAAAACCTTAACATAGTTATATATATATCTAAAACAAATGATGGTAGCTTTAAACAAAAAAAAAAACAAATGATGGTAGCATATCTTTTTAGAAAAACCTAATAAAACTTTAACATAATTCTATATATACCCTATAAATTCTCCTATAGACAAAATATCCTCTGTAGCACAAAGGTTTAAATTAAATTCAATCTTCCATTTTCGGGTTCAAAGCTCGGCAGCGGAATGGATGTTTCTAGTGTCCGTTTATGTTTAGGTGTAGGGTTTAGGATTTGGTTCTTGAATCTCTTATGTATGACAGACAATTTAATATTTGGTTTGTTTTCCCTATTAGTATCTTGAATTCCAAACAATGTCCTTGCTAGTCATTAGTCTGCCTTGCTACACTTGATATTCAAGTATTTTCAGTGTAAAAAAACTTTGACAGATTTAAAGGTAAAATGGACCAAAAAGACAACAAAAAATCGTTTCATAATAGTTTCGAAGCTTCCAAATTTTGACATCCGTTGAAAGCCTTCCGAAGCACCAAATCAAAATATCTTGAACGCTATGGAAAGCTAGAATAGTCATGATTCGCCTTGAAGTCATCTTTGCAGATGAGGACTTGGGCAATGGATTCTATTCATAGTCTCAAGATGAATAGGGTCATCTTTGCATCTGAGGCACATGATATTTCCGGGGCTATTGCAAGACTTAAAGCATGGCTGTCTTTCACTCAACAAGTAATGGAGATTAGCCATTTTTAGGATAAGCTTAAAGATTGGAGGCTGGAGGTGGAAAGTGCTTACTCAAATAGAAGCTCTTCTCTCATTGCGCAAAGTGTTATTTCTAATGCAAGATTTCAAGACTATGTAGCTACGGGTCATCATTGGTGGTTACATAGCTAGGGTTTTTGAAGACGAGAGACTTGCCTCTATTGCTATTTGATGTTCCTTTCAGTGGTCTTTTGCTTTGACTAAGTTTTTGGATATTTGGAGGAGTTAATTCGTTTCCCTAAGCTAGTTTCATCTTGAATATTCTTCAAGATTGGTTTGTAATGGTTGCTTACCATTTCTAATAAATTTATCCAAGACGGAAAAAAACAAAAAACAAAAATTAGTACGGAAAAAACAAGTATATAACAAAGAGCTGTGTATAAGCCTTGGTTTGAGCCTTGGAGACTGGCAACATTAATAGTAGAAAAGGAAAGTAACGTTCTTTTGTGGTTGCCAACAATCAGTATGCATTGATCACCATCACTTGATGTAAGCTTTACGTTGTATATGACGATGCTCATCCAAACATTCGGTTGCTGCCTGAAACACACACCTCTTCTCTAAGCACTCTCACAGCTTCTGTGACTCCATCCTGAAATCATCAATTTTTTGGATACCCTAAAACTATCAGTTGCCACAAAATACTCAAACTATGAAATAGAACACTCCATGGGAAGAAATGATAATAAACTGATCGTAACTGGTTACCTCAAGAGATAATATTTCAGCAATTTCCATCGCACAAGCCCTACTTTTTGCAGACAGTGCATCGTATATGGCTTTTGCTACCACTTGTGCAGCTTCCATGATGTTTTCATCATTTGGTTCCTCTAGAAGCAGGTGGTTTCTTTTCAATGGTTGAGGAGCAACTCCAAGCCAAGACATCTTTTCTGCCCAATAGAACTGATCCAGCATAAATGGGCATATGATCTGTAGAAAGGCATACACACACATTATGTGGTCACTTTTTGGCATTACAACTTGAAATTGATAAAGCTTTAAGAACGTCAATCATCATTTGTAACCAAGCAGTGCACAAAACTATGGTTTATGAGCAAGTACTAGTAAAGTTTGTAGCAGAGTAATCATATATCATACATTTTTGAAGGACCATGACATGTTCTTCTGATGTACTAGTTACTGTACAGCTAAATTTCTACTGATCCTTCTAGACAAACAATTACTTTTACCATTATATATCAAAGATCTAATAAACTAACATACAAACACAAACCTGCGGGATTCCAGCCTGTAATGCTGCAGCAACAGAACCGCTGATTTCCAAAGGGGACAAAATTCATATAGAAAGACAAGCAAAAATCAGTTTACGTGTATTTATATGTGTCCATGTTCACCAGGAAATGGTATCCAGCTGACATTTTCACCTGCCACCATGATGAATTGCTGCAGCGCATCTTTGAAACATCCACTTGTATGGCACCATACTAATTCAGAGAGACAAAAAATTAAGTAGGTTATATGGTCACAGTGTAATGTAGGTTTTGTCATGTCCAAATACAATGATCTTTTATTGTAAATAATGGCCAACTAAATATTGGGCAAATTTGTGCTCACCCAGGGAAACAGAAAAGCTTGCCGTTGAAAATAGAGATTCCTGCATGTAACGGTTGTTTCTCACTTGAATCTGATCTATTAGCAATGGTCCAAATTGCTGCATCTAAAGGTCCATAACCTGCTGTGAAAATGATAAATCTGTAACCTGTAATCTGGATAACAGATTGGAGAACTCGAAGAAAGGCTATGGGATCCCTTACAAAGCCCATGCTGCAAAAGCAAAGAGAAAAGTTACTACCGTACACTAATTCAGCATGGGTTATATAATATTTGATAGAATAAGTCTCAGTCTTCTTCTGAAACAAAAGGTGTTGAAAACATAATCAGAAATGATTCAGGGGGATCAACTTAAATTTAGACCTTCCAACAGAACTCAACCCTACAAAGATAGGCAGTTCTGGCTCACAAGACGATATAAAAGTATACAACTCAGAGTGGTTTGAGCATGTATGGGAATCGTCTGTACCCAGGCGCCCTGTAAAAGGATTGTCTCCACACTTGTTGCATGAAAACTGCCATTCATTGGGCAGAAACCAAAAGCCGCAAACTCGAACGCTCAAGGGCCAGTAATCTGTTAATAAGAATAAATGAATGCAGTGAAACGCAGAGAACGAAGCTTTTTCAAATCAATGACGATTTACACTGAGATTTTATAATGTGTTCCAAGGAGTCAAGGAATAAAAACAACTGCGCGTCAAACAAGATTCATCTTTAACTATGAATCTGTTACATTCAATTAGTTTCTACCCCTTTCTATCAAATGTAAAACAGACATCCTTTTAAAGTTGGGTCTGTTTTAACCTTTTTCTTCTCTGGTATAAAGTTCCAATCACATATTTTCTCAAGAATTTATAAATGGTAAGAATATAGCTGCAAAATATACCCAAAAGAAAGAAGAATAAAACTACTACCCAGATAACTTTTTTTAAAGAAGATGCTAGCAAAGCACAGAAAAATATTTGGTAGACGCGACAAATATCCGACATACCAGGGCATTCGACGATTTCTTTGCTGAAACCATACCTGTCACAAGGAAAATACGTAACAGGTCACTTACAAACTTATGCAGTTTCATCTGGGTTTTACAACTAAATTACTTAAATTTCAAAGTTCTTAGTATTTAATCAGATATCAGCCAGTGTTGGACATAAAGTGAGAAAGTACATTAAATAGATCAAGTAACCAAAAAATACTTAGTATATGAAGATAAAATCGTGATGGCAAGATAGATTGCAAAGTTGATCAGCTTTTACCACCAAGTAAATTCACAACTCACAAGACCAAGGGAGATGGCGGCCGGCTACGCCAAATTGGAAGGTCTGTTACTGGATCCTGCATCCAATGAGTAAATCGGGTGACAGTTCACACTATCATTTTTCACAATAAAATGTAACATTCTAGGTCTCTATGTTTAGAAAATACATACTGCAAAAGGGTAACAACTTAGGTTGAGTTCCTCGTAGCGCCACGATCCCCATTCTTCAGTAAAAAGAGGCCACATCCAATGAGTTACATCACTCCAGCTAACCTGCAAAAACACAGACACTAGAATGTTTCAGGAGAAAATAACACCAATTGCATGTTTGTATCACAATCATATGGAATACCTTGCCGATGGGGGCTTCTTTCAAGTACTTGTACAAATCTGGGAGTTCCTTCCTAAACTGTCTTTCAAAGCCTGATGGTGGACTGTACAAAAGAAGAATTGCAAGTGATCATCTTCCATTTCCAGGATGTCACACTCATACTTGTAAGCTACAAAGTTACCTATACGGAACAACATAAGGAGCCGCTACCACACAAGGGATTTGGAAAAGTTCTGCAAGGCTCCATCCTTCCTAAATGCACAATCAGATGAACCACAGTTAGTAACTCGAGATAAAGCAGACACAATCAATCCTGGTACAAAGGAGAGAGTATTAAGCAGATGTACCAATGCAAAGAAATTTATGACAACGAAATCACCCTCCATACAAGGACCCTTTCCGAAAATGCTTTTGAATGCAGAATGACACTCTTCTCTGTGTTCCCTTTTTATCCTTTCTTTTTCCTCCAAAAATAGTTTCTCTGATTGAAACCAGAATTGATGAATGGTTAAAGCTAAGTAAGAAGAAGAAAACCATATTTGAAGAAGAAACTAAAATCAGAGTATTGACCTGCGGCGTTTTGAGTACCCTGAGGTTCACTAGACAGGGCAGGAGGAGAATTGATAGGAAGATAGGAAACGTTTGCTTTGTTCAAGTGAGAGCTTAGGTTCTGCAACAAATCAACCTCTATATCTTTGATTCGAGAACGTAGTTTCTGCAAGTCGAGAACTTTATGAGAAGAAGAAGAAGAAAAAACCAAACCTCATGAGCCAAATGTGACATCAAAACCACAGAGTAGTGTTGCTGAACACGAGCGAAAGCTGCAGCAATGGCCTGCAAAAACAAAAAACCTTCTTTGGTCTCGCTTCCTAAGCCAGACCCCAATTATGAATCGAGATACTGAGAGTAGAGACAGAGAGAATACAGCGAGAGGGTAGACATCGCCTTTGGTACCGAAAGCCATGAAGAGAGCGATGGCTTTCCTTCTCTCCGGTTCCTCCTCCATGGTGCTCAAATGCTCCGATGAAGTGACAGAGCGATCACCAGTGAAGTGCGTTTGCAACATTTAAAGGTGCGTTGAAAAACATTAGAATCGCGTTTTAAAGACGGTTGCGTCTCACAACCCGCAAATCCTGCGTTTTTGCGGGATGTTGCGGTCGCTAGCGTTTAAAACCAATCATAGCAATCATTTAAAGCATTCCAGACAGCTCTATACCGTTCAAAATTACTGAATTTCAAAAGCTCTTTTCCGTAAACGTTTGAGGTTGCGGAGGATCACAAACGGATGCGGGCAGTAGCGATTCGAAAAAAAAAAAAAACAAATAAATTTCCTTAAAAATATTATCAAACCCTATATACTAGTATATATTAACGTTAATTCTCAAAATCATGGCGTCAAACCAAACTGAAGACAAAAGAAAAAGTTTTGACAATTTTGATCTGCCAAAAAAAAGTTTTGGTTTGCAAAATGTATATACTTGAAACACTGCTATCAATTTAAGATCGATGTCCTTGGTTCTAGTCTTCTAGACACTCGTTTGTATCATCATGTCGCAATCCACTTTTGATGACAAAAAAAGAGTCTCATAGCTCTATAGAAGAAAACCATCACTTTTGTTTTATACAACAATCAGATAATGAAATCGATCTCAGCTGTAGAATGTACACATCTCTTGTTAATCTTTTTTCGGAGACATTACTTTGGCATGTGAAGAACACAACGCAGACACTTTCCATCTCTCATGAGATCAAAAGCTTTGTTGATTTCATCAAACACCAGGTTATGCGTAACCAATTCATCGATCATAATCTCCTGCGCCACGGAAGAGTGAAAATGTAAACAAACTGTTTCATCCACTAAAAGTGATTTTGCTAATGTAGCTGCACGCTTATATACCTTGTTCATGTACTTTTCAATGAGTGAAGGAAGATCAGATTTAGGCTTCCAACCACCAAATAGAGTCCCTTTTAAAGATTTTCCAGAAAGGAAAAGTCCGTAATGAGCTGAAACTTCAGGCTTCACTTTCGGTACACCTAGAGTAACCGTCATTCCCCATCCCTGAGATATTCACATTGAAAAGGTTTCAAAAAGGCATTTGTATACAATATAGTTACAAGGTGGGAACAAATAGAACTGAAATCTTACATCCGAGCACGATTGTAAAGCAGTTGTAGCTATTCCTGTGTCACCAACACATTCAAATGAGAAATCCGCACCTCCTCCAGTCATTCTTTTGATCACCTAAAATCCCAACGCATCAGTATAATTTTCTACACCGCCGATTCCAATGTCTTTAGTTATTGCTATGATAAGCACAAACCGGAGATACTGAAATTACCTGGGGTATAGGTTCAGAGAGGTCATTTGAATTGATGAAATCCGTGACGCCAAATGTCTTTGCTGCAACAAATAAGAAACACTCAAAACCAGTCCAGAAACGTGTTATATCTTAATGATGATATACCTTGTTCAGCCTTAGCTGGATTTATATCAACCCCAATTATTTGAGCTGCTCCTCTGAGTTTGGCACCTTGAGCAACCTACTCATAAGAGATTAATCCCACATCAGACTCCATTAGCACAAAAGCATCAAAACTTCTGTATCTATACTTACCGAAAGACCGACAGTTCCAAGACCAAATATCACAACACTTGAACCTTTTTGTACATCAGCAACATTCCACGCTGCACCAAGACCTAAAATTACACCCAATATTCTCAGTATTGACTGTAAATAACTATTAGAATTTAATCATTTTAAGATATTATTTTTAACTACCTGCAGCTACTCCACAGCTTAGCAGACAAATTTTGTGCAGAGGTGCAACAGGATCGACTTTGACAGCACAGCCAGAGTGAACCACAGTGTATTCGCTGAAACTTGAAACCGCGCAGTAATGGTAAACAGGTTTGCCTTTGATGGTGAAGCGTGTCTTCTGATCACTATGCATCAAACCTTTCCTCTCCATTCCAAGAACCTGACACATATTACTTTTCCCAGAGATGCAATGCCGACATGACCCACATTCTCCAGTGAATACAGCGAGCACATGATCTCCTTTCTCAAACTCGGTTACACCTTCTCCAATGCTCTCTACTATACTGCAGTAACATCCATAGACACGATGCTAGGATTCAAACCAGTAAACTCTTTCTTTACTCAATTCACAAAGAAGTACACCTTAGAAGCTACTATTAACTATAAAATTCTCTAACTCTCGACTGATGCCGCAATGCCTAAACCAAGACTCTAGACAAATCCAGAATGTCCCCCAGCACAGTCTCTTCGCTCTTCTATAAACCATCACCTCTCAATTAACTGGTAAGGTTTGATCCTAAGCTGACCAAGCTAATTACAATAGTCCTATACTAAACACCGCAACAACGCTGCTAAATCACACACTAAGAACAACATTAGAGCACTCAATACCTTATCACATTCTACATATCCGAAATGAAGCTAATTTTCTTAACTTGTTCCTATGCTTGCCTAATCTAAAAAATGAGGTTATAGACAAAATGTAACGTACCCTGCAGCTTCATGGCCAAATATTCGAGGCAAAAGAGACTGTACCAACAAATGGAGACTTCATCAGAGACACATACTTATAAAGCCAGACTCATTAACAGGTTATATAGTAAAGAAGAGAAACTACAAACCTGAGCTTCCCAAGCAGAAAGATCACTACGACAGAGAGATGTACATACAACTTTAATTCTGATCTCAAGAGGTTGAGGTGGACTCACTTCAACTTCCTCCATAACCAATGGCTCACCAGCACGCCATGCCACCGCCGCTACAGAATTTCTCAATCAAAAAACCTAATCTTTCATCAACGAGAACAAAAACAAAAACCCTTTTTTTACCTTTGCAGGTTATGACTTGAGGTTGTTCGAAGGAAGAAGAAGAAGAAGACGACATCGTTATCCCAAATTTTCTTGCTTCAAGCACAAAATGAAGAAACCTGAAGAAGAAGACGAAGAAACAGAGCTTCTTCACCTAACACCGATCCTGAAGAGGAAGAAACAGAGGTTCTTCACCTAACACCGAAATCACCAACCACCATTGAGCTTAAGTGATCCAAGAAAAAATTAAAAATGGTGATTTTACAGCTTTAGAGGTCCCACGTTAGATGCAAGTTATTCTCGCCACCAACCTTTCGTTAATTAATCATACTAATCTTGCAATGGATTCAAACATTTCTACTTTAGTTTCTTCTGCGTTCGACATTCTGGTGGAATTTGTCACGCCGTAATTACAAGAAAAAAGAAGAAAAAAAACGATGACATGAGTGATATGGGAGAGCAATTTTTGGGTTAGCTAAGGCAGACAGAGAGAAGAATATTATTGGGCTTATAGTGGGCTCGTTTGGGCTTATCTTACTTCATAATGTTCATGATAGGTTAAATTAAAAAACCGAATAGCCTATATTATGAATGAATATTCTCACACCCTAGCACATTGTTAATTGTCTTGTATATTCTTTTTTTTTTTTTCTTTTTTTTGCTATGGATATAAATATCATTAAGGGTCTAACTGGTTTAAACGCAGCGGTTGCGGTTGCGGTTGCGGGAGTTTGCAGAAGCGGGCGGTTGCGGTTTCAAGCGTTACCAAGCGTTTTGAACGACTGGTTTAGCGTTTGAAAATGGATGCGTTTTCGGGAGTTTTATGACTGGTAAATCAGCGGTTGCGGTAGCAGTTAAATAAAAAAATGACCAAAAAAATAAAAAAAATATTACAAAAAAAGAAATAAAAATACTAATATATTATTATGATAATATTAGAAAAATTGAACATGCTTAATAATTGAAACCATAAATAAAGTACTAAATAGTTATTCAAAATAAAGAAATTTTGTAATAAGATAGTATTTTATACTGGGTTAACACCAAAAATTGCATCAAGTAATGAGGCAAACTGTAAATAACGTTGAATTCAATCAAAAAGCAAGTGATTTTCTATTCGAGAAAATAAATCGAAACATATATTCAATCAAAAAGCAAAGCAATACATAATGAAAAAAAAAAAAAGATGCTAAGAAAAATATTCAAAGAGTTACACATGAGGTGATGAATGAATAAAATGATATATGATACTTACGTTTGGTTCTTGATTTTCATCAGTTTGAGTGGAAGACATTGAGAAAATAAAATTTTAGAATATTGATTAGGGTTTATGATGAGAACGTGATACAAAGATGAAAGATACATATATGATAAATATATTTTATAATAATTATAAGTAAAGGTTTGTTTGTTTGTTTTTTTTTTTTTTTAAAATCCAACCGCTATCGCCCGCAACCGCAAACGCTTGCGGGAAGGAACTTTTGAAATTCAGCGATTTCGAGCGGTTTAAAGCAGTATGGAGCGGTTTCTATGATTGGTACCAACCGCTAACAACCGCAACCGACCGCTAGCAACCGCTAGGAGGGTGCTAGCGGAAAAACCAATCAAGTCCTAAGAAATGAAAAGTTTAGGTATTAAAAAAGATCATTTTACCTATATATTTGAGATCTTGGCAAAAAAGAATAAAAACAAAGTAACAAATGATTTGGGTACAATATGGGAGAGCTTACTATAACTATTCTTTTACTTAAAAAAAAAAATAATGTTTTCATATTTTTTTTTTCTTTAACAACTTTTCCATTGATACAGTCATACAGACCCAACTAAAAAAAAGAAGACGAATTACAAGGAGAATTGGAGAAACAGACTTCCACATTTGCCACCATTTTTTTTTCATAGTTTGTTTCAAAAGAGAGAGGTCCGGACTCTGGAGGCATTAATTAGTTGATGAGGAGAAAGGCCAGCCACGAAAACCTCTTAGAGCATCATTATAGATAGTTTCTTAGAGATAGATCTTAGTAATATTTAAATAATTTATTTGTAAAAGTGATTATTAAGAGATAGTATTTTTGAGTTAAGATTTTTGTGTGATTAATAGTAGGCTCTTAACATGTGGTTCTTAGAAAAACAAATATTAATATAAAAATAAAATTTATAATTATAGAAAATTTAATAATTGTTGCAAATTAAAAAAAATAAAACATACATGAGATACAATTCATAACATAAATCACAAATATTTTAAACTTAATTTCTTCTATATTTTGTCCATATATGTTCGACCAAATCATTTTTCAATTGTTGATGCATACCTCGATCACGAACTCGAGCTCTATTATCGAAGAAATTAGAAGGCGTATCTGTAGAATATGTGAAATCCGCTCAATCAAAACGTGACACGTGACACCTCTTAGGTATTAAAGTGATTTAAATTAAATAGTTAGTACCTTAATAAGCTAAGGAACGTTCCTTAGCTTATTAAGGTATTAACTATTTAATTTAAATCATTTTAATACCTAAGATTCAGCTAACATCCCCCCTATAATGATGTTCTTAGGACTGAATATGATAAAGCCTATAAAACAAAGAGCTACTATCATTTCTTCATAGATTGAGATCTTCTTGGAACTTAATGCTATCTTTCAAAACGTCTCAAATACCTTAGTACATCTCTAATGATTACGATCATTTTTTCATTCTAAACGATTACACTAAAATGAGTTTTTCAAAAATAATAATATTTCAAGTATATTCTCACTTACTATTTTTTTTTAATTTTTAAAAACACCATTTAATTTTTAATAGTCCCATATATTGAGAAAAAAGAAACATAAAAAAATTAGGGAAATTATTTTCCAATGGTACATCATTTTGAAAAGAAAAGGATTAGTTTGATGTATTAATTTAATATTCACAATTTTACTTTTTCCTAGAAAATGATGTAAGTAAAAAAAAAATCCTCATTTTTTAAATATTTCCTCTCAAAATAAGGGACCAAAAGACATGGTTTTAATTGTTAGATCATGCAAACCACAAAAATTATAATTTCCTAGGCTCCTAGCTACTTGAACAAATTGAATCGTTGTTAAATTGTTTATTCATTAATTTATTTTGACCATGATTTGAGTAATTGGCTCATCGCGTTGGTACTTAATCGGGTGATAAATTGATAATGATACGATGAAAGACAATCTCACTTCAATTACGCAGAAAATGGACAACGATCAATAGAAACAGAGTCACATGCAGTCATATAATACCACAGAGGCTGGTCCCATGCGATATAAATAGATTACAACAAACACTCGTGTAGAGGCACGTGTTCTATTTGTTCGTGTCTAGGTTCAACGTATCTGGCAACCATAATAATAATAATAACAACAACAAAAAATTGGTTTTTTAGTAATTTGCAAAATGGTCTTGTATATTTTAACTGGTTTGTGAATTGTGAATCAATTTTAACACTACATGAATATCGGGTTTTAATAGCACTATACAATAGCGTTTGTAGTCATTCTGCTATTGTTAGAGGACCTCTGAACTTTCAATAGCGTTTCTACCTTGTTGAAACGCTATGGATAGTATTTCACAATTTTTACTATGACGCGGAAGTATATTTAATAGCATTACCATATTAAAACGCTATTGAAAAGGTTGGGCGCTAAAAATTTCCCATTCCCGCTACTACACTTAGAAATATTTTTGGGCATAGTTTCTTTTTCCCCTTAGCTCATCTTTGTCGACTTTACTCTTCAATTTTTAGGGTTTCCTCTTTCTCTCCTCTTTGCTATCTCCGACAGACACAAAACACAAATTTCCGAAAAATTTCAACCTCTTTGCTCTCTCCGCATCTTCCTTAGGTTCTCCCATCTTCCTTGTATGCTCGATCTGTTTGGGAATCCCACTAAATCGAAGGTAAATCCCACTTAATCACAAATTTGTTCTTGATTTGTAGAGAGAGAGCTGCGAGATGACGATTTGGGTTTGGGTTTGGTCGATTTAGGAATTTGAGGATTTAGAATTTGGGGATTTAGGGATTTGAGGATTTAGGTAGAATCGCTTACACATTTGAGACTGTATCTACATGTTCTTTGAACTGCTTTGAGCTGCTTTGTGTATCTTTCACATCTTCCTTGTTAACTTGAGTCCTAACAATTTGAAACTAGATCTGGTCTGACATTTACTTCAATGTGCAGGTCGTAGTCGAACCAGTATCCAAACACATCACTTGTCCAGATTGAAGGAGTCAACACCCAAGAGAAGGTAAACAGAGCCAAATCAAAGACTAATAATGAAATCGATTTCTTTTAATTTTTGTTGGATTAGTAGATTTATTGATTTGAGTTTAATTGATTTCTATTTTTGCTTTTTCTGTTGTAGTTCGAGTTAATCAGAAGAGAACAAACTCTATCAGGTATATGATTCTTCTATCAGATTACTTGTATTGTTGTTTTGGCTTTGAAAGTGACTGCCTCTGAAAATTACTTGTATGCACATTTGGTCGGAGCTCTTGTGAAATGGATAAAGCTTGGGTTTGGTTGCCAAGGTATTAACTTGTTCTTACATATATGCATTGATTTCATTTTATGATTGACTGTTCTCAGTTTGTAATGGGTACTATTTGTTAACTTGTAGGAATAACCTTGAGTATGAAACAGGAGCAACTAAGTTTGTGGTTGAATCAGCAAGTAATTTGGGTAATCCATCAGAAATGTTCTGAAATTCAAGTAATATCTGATGCAGTAGGAAACTGGGTGGCTTGGCCTAACAAGCATATTGTATTCATGTGAGCATAAGTTTGTGTCAAAAAACATTGTTCTATCTCATGGTGTAGTACTACTCTTTGTATGATCTTTTAAAATGACAGGTTTTAAATCCAGTTTTAATTTTAAGTTTAATTTAAAGTCTTCATAATTTAAATATTATGAAGTACTAATATTATATATAATTACAATATTATATATAATATTAAAAACAACAAATATCAATTTTTCTAAATGCTTAACTTTTTAATAACACACAAAAAACGCTATTATATAATTTATAATAGCAGAAAAGAAAACGCTATGTTATATAAGCATTTATAGCATTACAGAAAAACGCTATCTAAAGTCACTTACCTATTATAGCGGGCGTATATACAGCGCTTTCAAAAACGCTATTATATCTTTAGACAGCGTTTTTCAGACGCTTTTAATACCCGATATTCCTGTAGTGTAATTGGAGTATTAAATAGGGTAATATTAGTCGATAGCCAAATTAGACACATAAATTAAGAAACTAGCAGAAAAAAGGTTTTTCTCGGAAAACAGCGATGGACCCACGTTGTCAGAGGATGTGAAATAACAAAACTATCCTCCGTTTGTTTTGAGATCAACAGTAGGCAAGATTGTTTCGTGATATTTTTCAAAATAGCACGTAAGATCTAAATTTCACATATTATATTTAACTAAAAGACATGATATTTCAAAAAACGTAGTGAATTTTTAAGAAAAAACATTTTTATGTAGTGTTTTTTTTTTTTAAAAAACATTGTTATAGAAAAATTAAACTTGAATAGAATTTTTTTTTAAAGAAATAACATGTAATCTTAATAAAAACCGTGAATTACTATAAAATAAGAATGTTTTTTAAAGAAATCACATGTGATAATAATAAAAAACATGTATTACTACAAAATAACATGATAGAGAGATATTAAACTGAATAGAGTGTTTTTTTCAAGAAATACCATGTGCTCTTTATAAATAACGTGTAATACGACAAAATCTATATTATTAATTGGGAAGCATTGGATAATAAATAACCTTATAAAGGGTAAAAAATTACAAAAAATGCCATTGGTTTTTAATGTTTTTAAATAACTTCATTAAGGGTACAATAGTAATCACAAAATTAATATATTTAAATAAAAAATAGTTTAATTCTTTTAAATACTTATTAATTTCCAAAAAATAAACTAATTTTCTCTCTCTTATTAATTATAAACGAAAATTTGAAATTAATTTTTTAAAATTGTTAACCAATAGGAATTGAAAAACTAAGATTTGATATCCAACTAAGATTTTTTCTAAACCAATCCTAATAGACTATTCTATATCAAAAATAAAAATAAAAATAATATCATTTTAATTCAAAATTAAAAAAAAACTATCATTTAAAAAGATTTATCAATGGAGGATTTTAAGATTGAATTTGAAATTTGGTAAAAAAATTAAATGCAAATATTTTAATATTCAGTTTTGTTATAATATTTTTATTACAAATTTTGAAATATAAAACGAAATTTTATTTCATAATTTCTAAAAAACCATATTAAATATTAACAAATATTTATTTTTACTATGAAATAAACTCAAATAATAATAAATTTTAAGTAATTATCATAATGGTTTTCGTTTAGAGCAATTTTCGAAAAAATCTAAACAATAGAATGTACATATTAATTTTGAAATATTTTGTGTTTTATTTTTTTCTTTTCAACTCAGATCTTCCTTAAATAATAACTAGATGCAAATATTATTTAAGGAAGATTTTAAGATTGAATTTGAAATTTGGTAAAAAAATTAAATGCAAATATTTTAATATTCAGTTTTGTTATAATATTTTTATTACAAATTTTGAAATATAAAACGAAATTTTATTTCATAATTTCTAAAAAACCATATTAAATATTAACAAATATTTATTTTTACTATGAAATAAACTCAAATAATAATAAATTTTAAGTAATTATCATAATGGTTTTCGTTTAGAGCAATTTTTGAAAAAATCTAAACAATAGAATGTACATATTAATTTTGAAATATTTTGTGTTTTATTTTTTTCTTTTCAACTCAGATCTTCCTTAAATAAATCCATAATATATTGCACACAGTTTTTGAAATTATGTAAACTAATTATATATTTTGCATTCAACACAAATTATGCAGCAATAGCATATCCCTTTTATAGATGTATCTAAAACTTTTATTTTTAGTCCAAATATTGAACTAATTATGATTAAACAATGAAAAGAAGAATATGCAAAATTTAGCTAAGGAAAGAAACATTAATAAATTTGTTAAAATATTTGAAACTTTAACATCATACATATTAATCCGCAAAACTCACAGTATGTATTTTATGGTATTTTAAAGTAAGCAAACAAGAATTTGGAACATGGTTTTAATGGAATGAAATGAGAATAAGAATTACGAGACGGGATGGCAGGGGAACATAAATTAAAAATCAAACTTAATACTCAACTGGTATGAGTTTGTGTTATGAGCACTATATAAAATAAATTTGTTTACACACATATTATACGTACGTTTTTAGTTACAATTTATGACAGATACGGGACCGTAATATTTTTATTTCACGTATACGAGACGGGTTATGGGACGAAAAATTTATGACATATACAAGACGGGATAGGTTTCCTGTTCCAAAATTGTTACGCCTAGCTAATATACATGAAATAATCCAAACTAAACCGAATATGTATCCTATTTAACACATGTAATCAAACTGTTAGAAATGTTTTGAATAGTTTAGAAAATAAAAACGTAACATCACTTAACTTTTGCAACTAAATAATATCTTAATTTTATATTAAATACAATTTCACACGTACGTGTAGGTCCGAATCTTAAAATTTAACTATGCACTAACGCAACTAAATTTCGTTCATTGCTCTAACTTTATAATATCTATATTATTACAAAGTTCACTAACACAACAAAATATTTTATATTTTTAAAATCTATATAACAATTTCTAAAAAAAATATCTCTGCACGTACATGTGGATCTAAATCTAATACACTAAAATATACATCATAAAAACAATAAAATAATCTATATTGTATGAAAATTTGTAAGAAATGTTTTTGAAATATGAAACTCCGCACGTACGTGCGGGTCAGGATCTAGTAATATGATAAAAGAGATATATTATTCTATCACTTATAATTCGAGAAAAAAGCATGTTATAAAGGGCATGTACGTAATTACATGTGCTTCCCGACATGATACCGACAAATTACTGTAGCGTATGACTATTTTCTTAATTATCCTCAAAAATTTGGCTATTTTGTGCATATTTCCTATTAAATAACATTAGATTTTAAATAATATTTAGAAATCACTAAACGAATACCATTTCATTTTGACCAACAATTTATTTTTTAATGCATATTACGATGTCATCAAAATTTTAAAATTCTTTATATGTTGATTGATTTAAGTTCGATTTAAAAATTTAAATCATATCAAGAATAAATATAAAATAATTACAGTATTCATATATTAAATATATATATATATATATATGCATATATTATGATTCAAATTTTTGAAAAGGACATAAATTACTCAACATATAACATAAATAGCGTATAAAATTCACACACGTGCAGCTTTGAAAATTAGTGGTGATAATTAAGAGTATGATATTTTATGTGATGCAAAGGGTGGTATTTATAGTGAAGTGAAGTTAGTTTACTGTGTGGTCTCGTCTTATGACGATAATATGGGCAACGAGGAGATAACTCAGATAATAAGTGTACGTGAATGGCTTCGAGTGATGCAAATGCTTTCTGGCCCCATTATGTTTTATAACCGAAGAGATATTTCACTTACACCACTCGTTTCTTGAGCACGTTGTGACCGTGCTAAATTTAGAATTCGGCGTTTTGTTGTTTCATTTTTATTATTATCGTAGGCTTTTATTCTTGTGAATTTTGAACCAGAGTTTCGGTTTACAGAATACTAATTCTGTGAAGCTGTTCCACATTATTAGCAAAAAAAATGTTTGTGCCTATGATGGACTTGGGTAATACTTGTGTTGGCGGGAATACTTTCTTGTATAATTGGCATATATAACAATGAACTACGAGGTATTGAAAAAATACGCATTTGAACCTAAATATTTTTAGAAGACGAGTTTATGTTTTATATAAGTGTCATTTGATCTTTTTTCTCGTAACAACTTATTTTTAATATAATATTAGAGTTTAGTATTTCGGTGTTATATACGACGTTAAGTAATAAATTAAATATTTACATAAAAAGTAATATGTTACGAAAAAGTAACCATGTTATGAAGAAAAAGTAATATGTTACGAAAAAGTAACCATATTTCCATAAAACTTAAACAAAACCACAATCCAAAAAAAATATTCATTATTTAATGGCAATAATTTAAATAACTATATTTTTTTTTGGTTGGATATTTTTTTGTACCATATTTACTTTTTGTCGGATTATAAATATACTTTTCGTGTGCTGATGAAACCAAATTATTTTGCAACATTAACGAGTGATTATACAGTACAATAATTAAACGTGTCTTACAACATGAAGACACATATTAAACTTTAATCTACGAGATTGTGACATTCTGCTATATATATCATAAACATATTTTACATCTCATAATGTAAAACTATAGCAATATTTTTGTTCCAAATTTTTCAAAATTCATTTTTACTTTTATTTAACTAATAAGTGCTAAATTAGTTTCCAATACATTCAATTTTTTTTTTTATTAACTTCAAATTGTTACGTATCATTTCATTTCATGGCCACTTGATTAATTATCCCTATAAAGAAAAACAACATTTAGTACGAAGTCTTTGTTCTTATTAAGTTACGATAGGATAGACATTTTATTTATGCAGCGGTGCCTAAACGGCTACAAACATAAACGGAAAGACATAGATATGCAGTGGATACAAGGGGACAAAGACATGATGATAGATGCTTAAGAAGGTACGTAGTAGAGTGGATTTGGGAGCTTAAAGACCCTTCCAGGAGTATCCTCAACCAAATCAGCCCATTGGTCTCCAATATTCCCAACGATGTTGTATCCTTTCTTCACCAGGCTCTTCCTCACCTTTGACTTGTACACCACTTCCGGCAATTTCGAATGGTTTGGCCTGCGTTGCCATATTTAATTAATCCTCGATTAAATTGCATATACATCATACTTACTTACTGTATATTATTAAGCTTACTTGAATATAAGATGCTTCCATTTTGTCACACCAGCAGCCTTGAGATTATCGAGAGTGACTTCTGACAACCTCTTCCATCGGTCAGAGATTATGATGGGTTCAATCCCGAGTTCTAAGAGGTTCCTGTATAGATGCAAAGTCTCCGGGAGTCCTGGAGTTGATTCTCCGGACCTTAACCACGACCAGTACGCCCCCGGGGCTGTGTTCTGTGTCCTAAGAATCCCAAAAAAAAAAAAAAACAAATCTACTTTAAAATGAAATCACAAAGTAGATATGGACTACAAAAGAAAAACAGTTTGTATCAAACTATTTAGATTTGTCAAATGAAACGTGTTTTTCCATATATATATGACATTTTCAAATGAAGATAATATTGTTAATGCAATGGAGATGGTGTAGGTAGAACTAATAACAATAATATGTATACCCGTATCCATATTTGGCGTAGTAGGGGATACTAGAGAGGAGAGTGTCGTCTATGTCAAATATCCAAACATTGACGGTATCGTTCTTTAGGGCAAGTCCTTTGGCATAGAAATAAGCCTCTTTGCACACCGTTTTGGAGTCAGATTGATATTGTTTGGAAGTGATCAAGTAGTCTTCAACATAGTCTTTGCAATTTGCGGGCACGGTGTCGAAGTCTATGATGTTAGAGGTCTCAACACCAAGGTGCCAGCTTCTACAGTTGTGGTAGTTGATGGAAAGTCCCTCTTTCTCTAAGAGTTCGGCTTCGTCCCCAAAGATGGTGTTCGATTCGAGGAGTTCGATGAGCCCTGGAACGGAAGCCGAAGACCGGACGTGGGAGACCGTAGCTGCCAAGAGAAAGAGAAGTGAAAGTGAGAGGATTTTCATGTTTTTTTTTTTGTGGTATGGTTTATTGTTTAGTTTGTGATGTTTATTTGTGGGACACAAAGGGTGGTATTTATAATGATGTAGGGTTAGGTATGGTTACTTATGACGACAGATGGGAGATGAGGCGATAAGTGTATGTGTATTTGGATTGGTGCAACAAATGCTACTGGTCCCATAATGTTTATAATTGACAATATTTTTCACTTACACCACTCGTTTTTAGAGCACGTTGAGACTGTGTGCTAAACTAGAATTTGGCGTTTTGTTGTTTTATTTTTAATATTATCTTTGGCTTTTGTGCTTGTAAATTTTGAATTAGAGTCTCGTTTTAGAGATCTTACTGTGAAGTTTTTCTACATTACTAGAAAAATGTGTGTGAATATGTCGATGTGAGTAAACTTTTTTTTTGGATAATTGATAGAGTAAACTTTTTTTTTTTTGATAAATAATTGATAGAGTAATTGGCAAAACCAATAATGCAAAACGTGATATTCAATAAACGAGTAATTGGCAGCAGCCTCCCAGTGAGCAACAAGAGATAGATGTGTACTGTGTAGGTTGAATCATACGAGATGAAATATGTCGATAAGATAAGAAATGTGAGGTATACACGTATAGACGTTTTTTTTTTTTTCTTTTGTCAACATCTTTTAATTAAAATTTAAAAGAATCATTCATGAAGAATGTTGTTTACATAAGTAATATGATGCGGTTTGGTATGAATTTTTCGTGCCAAATTATCCGCTTTTACATTTGCACTACGAGGGATTAAAAATAAAGAGAAGCTTGAAAATTCTTTCTTGTCGCTCTTGAAATCTTCCAAATACACTGCGAATGCCGGCCATTCGATTGGGAAGGACACCATCTTCACCAGGTCTGAACAGTCTGTATAAAAAGCTACATCTTGGGTGTAGTATCCAATCATACACTTCATTGCCCAGAAAAGAGCTTCCACTTTGGTATGTAGAGGTGAGAGACTTCTTCGGATATTGGCTGCTCCCATGGTTGGCGTCTCTCCGTTTGGTGATGTGCAGAACCACCCTGTTCCTGAATATTTATCAGTTTCTTTTCATGATCCATGACAAGTATAGACGTTAAATATTACACCTTTCGTTTTTATTTATTTCATATTTGGAGAGAAAAAAAAATCTATATATAATAGCAATCTCAATAAATGTCTTTTGCAGTTTTGAACGGTTGTGTATTTTTATCGCAACTTTCGGCTAAAATATTGACGGTTATTTTTTTTCGATTGTATTTTTTTATCGCAACTCTCGTTAAAATATTGACAGTTACTTTTTTTTGTTGACGGTTATTTTTTCGGTTGTGTCTTCTTATCGCAATTTTCCGTTAAAATATTGTCGGTAACTTTTTTCATTTGTGTCTTTTTATCGCAACTTTCCGTTAAAATATTGACGGATATTTTTTCTAAGTTGTGTCTTTTTTTATCGCATCTTTTCGTTAAAAAATTGACGGTTATTTTTCTGGGACAGTTCTATTTGTTCAATTATAATCATATTTTTTTTCAGTTTACGGTTGTGTCTTTATAGTTGCATCTATTCATTTAAAGTTACGTCTCTTCAATATATTTCATTGCATTTTTTCGTCACAACTTTTTGTATGAATAGTTGTCTATTTAAATGTTCGTGACTTTTGAACTCTATATATTTGTCTTTCTTCTTAAGTAGTTCCCGAATTTTTGTTCTTTAAAATATATTATTTGTTTCATGATAAAAAAAAATCTATAAAATAGCTTCAAATTCTTTATTCTCTAAGCTATTTTTAAACATATATCATTTTAATATTAATAAATTCTTCTCAAGAAGAATGATTATTAAAATGGAGAAGTTTTAATCAACTTTAAATGTAAAATTCAAATGAAGATACCAACAATATTTTTCTTAGAATTGGACGGATTATACAGTAATTTTTTATTTAACTATTTTATATGGTAACAATGATGCTTTCTGATATATCACGGATTTTACCGATTTTTAACCGTGATTTACGTGTCAGTTTTAGAGTTTTTTTGTTGTTTCTAGTGTCTTTTCAAGTCTTTTCAGGTTTTTGCAAGTTCGGGACAAAATTGGAGGAAATGAATCATTTTGGAGCTAAACAGAATATTTGGAGCTGAAGAGACGAATTCGGATTCGAACCAAGGCATTGGTGTCGACCGACACCATACGCGGTCCAGCAAGAAATCTCGACGGTTTAGAGTAATAAAGCCCGCAGAATTTACCCATAAGACTTCCCTATTTGCAATTTTAGTCCCTGCACGTTTTTGAGACTTTATAAATAATTTTTAAGGTTTTCTATTTGATTATCTTGTCTTTGGCTTTTGTAATTCTCTGAGCTTGAACCCTTTGGAAGATAATTGGAGAGAGCAACTTTTCAGAGATTTTATACCTTGTTAGAGAGAAGATTTATTCTAAACTCTTTTCTTCTTTTAATTTCTTAACTAGATCCTGACCCGCACGTACGTGCGGGGTTTCATATTTCAAAAACATTTCTTACAAATTTTCATATAATATAGATTATTTTATTGTTTTTATGATGTATATTTTAGTGTATTAGATCTAGATCCACATGTACGTGTAGAGATATTTTTTTTAGAAATTTTTATATAGATTTTAAAAATATAAAATATTTTGATGTGTTAGTGAACTTTGTAATAATATAGATATTATAAAGTTAGAATAATGAACGAAATTTAGTTGCGTTAGTGCATAGTTATATTTTAAGATTCGGACCTACACGTACGTGTGAAATTGTATTTAATATAAAATTAAGATATTATTTAGTTGCAAAAGTTAAGTGATGTTACGTTTTTATTTTCTAAACTATTCAAAATATTTCTAACAGTTTGATTACATGTGTTAAATAGGATACATATTCGGTTTAGTTTGGATTATTTCATGTATATTAGCTAGGCGTAACTATTTTGGAACAGGAAACCTATCCCGTCTTGTATATTTCATAAATTTTTCGTCTCATAACCCGTCTCGTATACGTGAAATAAAAATATTATGGTCTCGTATCTGTCATAAATTGTAACTAAAAACGTACGTATAAGGTTATGTGTGTAAACAAATTTATTTTATATAGTGCTCATAACACAAACTCATACCAGTTGAGCATTAAGTTTGATTTTTAATTTATGTTCTCCTGCCATCCCGTCTCGTAATTCTTATTCTCATTTCATTCCATTAAAACCATGTTCCAAATTCTTGTTTGCTTACTTTAAAATACCATAAAATACATACTGTGAGTTTTGCGGATTAGTATGTATGATGTTAAAGTTACAAATATTTTAACAAATTTATTAATGTTTCTTTCCTAGCTAAATTTTGCATATTCTTCTTTTAATTGTTTAATCATAATTAGTTCAATATTTGGACTAAAAATAAAAGTTTTAGATACATCTATAAAAGGGATATGCTATTGCTGCATAATTTGTGTTGAATGCAAAATATATAATTAGTTTACATAATTTCAAAAACCGTGTGCAATATATTATGGATTTATTTAAGGAAGATCTGAGTTGAAAAGAAAAAAATAAAACACAAAATATTTTAAAATTAATATGTACATTCTATTGTTTAGATTTTTTCAAAAATTGCTCTAAACGAAAACCATTATGATAATTACTTAAAATTTATTATTATTTGAGTTTATTTCATAGTAAAAATAAATATTTGTTAATATTTAATATGGTTTTTTAGAAATTATGAAATAAAATTTCGTTTTATATTTCAAAATTTGTAATAAAAATATTATAACAAAACTGAATATTAAAATATTTTCATTTAATTTTTTTACCAAATTTTAAATTCAGTCTTAAAATCTTCCTTAAATAATATTTGCATCTAGTTATTATTTAAGGAAGATCTGAGTTGAAAAGAAAAAAATAAAACACAAAATATTTCAAAATTAATATGTACATTATATTGTTTAGATTTTTTCGAAAATTGCTCTAAACGAAAACCATTATGATAATTACTTAAAATTTATTATTATTTGAGTTTATTTCATAGTAAAAATAAATATTTGTTAATATTTAATATGGTTTTTTAGAAATTATGAAATAAAATTTCGTTTTATATTTCAAAATTTGTAATAAAAATATTATAACAAAACTGAATATTAAAATATTTGCATTTAATTTTTTTACCAAATTTCAAATTCAATCTTAAAATCCTCCATTGATAAATCTTTTTAAATGATAGTTTTTTTTAATTTTGAATTAAAATGATATTATTTTTATTTGTATTTTTGATATAGAATAGTCTATTAGGATTGGTTTAGAAAAAATCTTAGTTGGATATCAAATCTTAGTTTTTCAATTCCTATTGGTTAACAATTTTTAAAAAAATTAATTTCAAATTTTCGTTTATAATTAATAAGAGAGAGAAAATTAGTTTATTTTTTTGGAAATTAATAAGTATTTAAAAGAATTAAACTATTTTTTATTTAAATATATTAATTTTGTGATTACTATTGTACCCTTAATGAAGTTATTTAAAAACACTAAAAACCAATGACATTTTTTGTAATTCTTTACCTTTTATAAGGTTATTTATTATCCAATGCTTCCCAATTAATAATATAGATTTGCAATTTATTCAACATGTTTTCTGTTTCATTAATCATGTCTGAGTAATCACCCTATTAGGTTTAGGGATTCTCACTAAGGATTTAGATGAACTAGTAAATCGATTAACTGTTAGGAATCCATAGAGTTCTTCATCTAGGTTGTTATTAATGCTTGTTCGAGAGTAGCTGATCGTAGGATAATAGGTATTTGATCCGAGAGGGCACATGTTACTGGAACTACTTTAGATGAGCCTAGTTTATAGGTGTGTAATAAGAATCGGCCTATCTACTAAGGTGAACATATCAAACCTGAATTTAATGCTAGTCTAGACCTAGGAATTCGCATCGAGAGGTGGAATTTCTGGTATTAGGCTTGTTAGTTATCGCATCGAGAGGTGGTTAGCTATTCATTAGTGATTTGAGTTCAAGAACGGTTCATTAAATAATCCTAATTAATTTGCTAGATTTATTACTAGTTTATTTCCTGAGAATTTCTCTAAACCTGAAACTTTAATCTATTGATCTTTTCACCTGAAATCATTGTTTGCTATTGTTTTATTTTAATTTTAATAATTTTATTTAGCCTAATTTCGAGACTTATAACTTATTGTGTGAACAAAAGAACTTTGTGGATCGACCCTTAAGTGCTGCAATCGACCTCTTAATATGAGAGAGTAGGCTTTAAGATTAATTTGACCTGTATCACTTTATTCTATCTTAAGGCAATATATATGGGTTGTATATATACAACGAAATATTGATGCTAAGTTAGCACTATTACAAAGTCCGAATATGAG